TGTTAAAATAAAAATAATACTTGTATAAGCTCTTCTAAAAAAGTGACAAATATTAATATAAAAATTAAAATATTATTGCTTTTATGAAAATTATGACAAATATTATATATTTGAAGAAAAATATTGTTAAAATGAAAAAAATACTTGAATAGTTGTTATTTTTAGATTGGGCCAAACGTATAGCTTCTATTATTTTATAAATAAATATAAAATATCTAATAAACAAATTAATTTACTTATTTTCTTTCCTTCTGTATCTACATTATTTATAATCATGTCATTCATAATACTTTCTTCATTATTTAATAAATCTAAATAAGGTTATTTTAAAATGTATTTCATCAAATGTAATTTGTTGTAATAAAACTTCTTTATCCAATATACCTTTATATTTACTGCTATCAAGAATCTGGCTTGTTGTAGTATCCTCTTCAGAATCCATGCCTAAAATTTTATATTTAATTATATTTAAAAAATTAATACCTTCAGAGATATCTATACATTGGATCTCACATATATCTTCAGATTGAGCCACATATATTGCTTCAATTATTTTATAAATAAAATATCTTATATATATATAAATTAATTTTTTACCTATTTTCTTTCCTTCTGTACTTACATTCAGTGGCGTAGCTAGGAATTTTCCTTAGAGGGGGTCCATACATATAAAATCCTGGGGACTTCGCCCCCAGACCCCCTTTAACGGGCCTTCGGCCCTTTTGCTCGGCCTTCGGCCGGGTTTATCTTAAAAATCATAACCACATCTTCGACAATATATATAAATATTTTTAAATGCATGAATAATGTTATTATAATTTAGTAGATAATGTTATTATAATTTAGTAGATAATGTTATTCTCATTTAGTAGATTATTCTCAATGACTTTATAATAATACTACCCAGAATAAATTCTATAGTAATATAATATCCTTTCACAAACATCAAAACCAGAAAAATATAAATATCAATGGTATTTATTTCATACAAAGTCACTTTTAAGTCGTTTGAACGTATAATCTAAAAAAAAATTGCTCTGGGAGGGGTCCAAACCCGAAAACCACCCCCGTAGCTACGCCACTGCTTACATTATTTACAATCATGTCATTCACAATACTTTCTTCATTATTCAATGAATCTAAATAAGATTAATTTTAAAATGTATTTCTTTTCAGTGTATTTATTTTTGTAAATATAATATATAAAAAGTAATATTCCATATTATAGTGTCCATTTTTCAAAAATATATATAAATAAGCAAACTATTCTAAATTTATTTAGCATTTTTATTAAAATATAGTTTATTATTAAGTTAGGATAAACAAATAAATATATAATTATCAAATTATGAAAGAATGATTGAGTAAACAATTTAGCCAATATTATCTTTATTAATGTAAAAAGAATAATAGTGTATGATTTTTTAAGATATTGACTATTTATATAGAAAATATTTACTATGTTTTATTTAGCTAATATTTTGACATCACCTTATGTGATTATAATAGAAAAATTTTAAAAAAAATTTCCATTTCTAGTGTCCTGCTCCTGAAAGGTGAAAATATATTGCAAAACAATTTTTGCTTAACTTGAAAACTAAAGAAATCAATATTGTTTAATACTCTGGTGAAAAATGACTTAAATAGAAATTCTATAGAAATTAGGCAAATTTGGGAGGAAATAGGAAAAACATATAATTTCAATTACAAGTGAAAAAGAAACCTTCCATTAAAATAGATGATTAACTAATAAATTTTTATTTTTTAAAACTTAAATGTCCAAAGTGTTTTGTTATTAATTTGTGAAAATTTTAAGGATTTTTTCAAAACATTTTGGACACAGACTTATATATAAATTTATTTACCTATTTTCTTTCTTTTAACATTTTTGTTTTCAATATTTATATCTTTTAAAACTACAATTAATCGTCTTTCAACTAAATCAAAGTTTGAATTTTAAAAACTGTATAAAATATACTTTGTTCATCACCAGCTTTATTATTGAATCCTCTTCTTTGGTCCTCAAGATTGCTACTTTTATCTTTAGTTTTTTACATAAAGTCTTTAATGCTTAATTTTTTAAATCGCAAAGTCATTTTATTTAAATAGTGATTTTAAACTCGGCTTACAATATTAAATTTGTTAATTTTCAATTAATAAATCTTTATATTTATTTAATTAAGGTTATATAATAATTTAATCAATAAAAATCAATAAAACTTCAACTGTTAATGCTAAATTGATATTTAAACATTATGCATGGTATTGATATTTTATTTTTAACAAAGAATTTGATTGCAAGCTGACATAGTGAAAATATAATTTATATGTATTAATCTAATCTAATAAAATTTAGATAGTCTTATTAATTTTTAAATAATAAAATTAAATCTATATATTACTTAATAGAATTATAATAAACAGGGGACAATCAAAAAAAGTTCTTTTTAGTTTAAGGGGATATTAAGGAACCATTAAAAAAAAATTTTTTTTGCTTCAGGGGGCTATTCAAATTTTTCAGGGGGCTTGAGCCCCTGCCCCCCTCTAGTGACGCCACTGTTTGGTTACCGAAACCCATGGTTTTTGTATCTTTATAGGATTATCATGATATATGTTACAATCGTCACAACTTTTCACTTCCATTACTATGTCATTGTTTATACCAGGCCACCACATGTATCTTTGGCTAAGGATTTGATTTTTCCTGCTCCCAAGTGACCTTCATGTAATGACTGTAGTATATTTTTCCTCATTGAAGACGGAATTATGATTATGTTGCTTTTGTAAAGACAATCCTTAATTATACTCAATTCTAAATCAATGTTTTTATAAATATTATTCATTATAGGCCTGTAGTTCTTAATATCATTTATGACTTGTTTTAATTCAATATCTTTCAAAGTTTCATCACGAATTTGATTAAAATTAATTAATGTTGTTAAATAGTCGTTTAAATTGAGCGGCTCAATGAGCCGCATGAGTCGACTCGATGAGTAGGCTTCAGAGTCCCTCTATATATTATACTTATTAAAGTTGTTTACTTAAAGCCGACTCATCGAGCCGATTCTGAAGCCGACTCATCGAGCCGACTCATGCAGCTCACTGAGCCGCTCAAATTGAAATGAGTTTTGTGACTCAAAACTCGACTATATTTTAGGCTAAGTCGACTCGACTTAGCCGTTTAACAACATTAAAATTAATAGGTAAATCCCTATATTCATTTATTATAGTGATATTTTCAACAGCTTCATTATGACATTCTTGTGGTAATCTCGAGAGACAATCAGGAATAACATATTTACCGGCTTTATACTTTAAATTAAAATCATATCCTCCTAAAGTAATATTATACTTCTGGAGTCTTAAAGACATAGTGCTATTATCTTTAAGACCCTTGGTAAAGATTTGAACTAGAGGTATATGGTCAGTAATAATTGTAAATTTCGTGCCGATTAAGTATTCCTGGAACCTCCTTATAGCGAACATAATAGCGAGAGCCTCACCACACTCAATATTGGTATAGTTCATTTCGGATTTTAATAAAGTTCTTGACGCGAAAGCTATAGGTTTTTCTTTACCATCTTTTTCAGTATAAAATAATACAGCTCCTAAACCACATTTCGATGCGCCAGTGGCTATCCCTATAGGTAATTCAGGGCTAAAATATGTCAAAGCAGGTGGAAGACTAATCAACTTCTTAAGATCATTAAAACTTTTAGAGTGTTCTAGGTTCCAAGCCCATTTTTCTCTGTTGACAATCTTATACAGAGAATCGGCTATTTCTGCAAAATTGTTCAAAAATTTTCTATAGTAGCCAGCCATTCCCAGAAATGTTGATAATTCAGCAGCTGATTTTGGTTCTGGCATATTAATGATTGCTTCAATTTTGTCGTGATTAGCATGAATCCACTTGGCGTCAATATCATGACCCAGGAACCTCACCTTGTTAAAGAACACACTTTTATTGAAGTTAGGTATTAGCCCAAACGATGTATCAAACACTTTTCTATGTTTTTAAGTGGGCTTCGTCGTTTTTTCCAGTTATAAGTAAATCATCAGTAAAAAATATGACGTCATCCATGTCACCGAAGATTTGATCCATGATCTGTTGAAAAATTGCAGATGAGGTCCTTAACCCAAAAGGAAGTCTAGTAAATTGGTAATATCCCTTGTGCGTAGATATGGTTAAAATATTTCTGCAACTTTTATCAATTGGGATCTGTAAGAATGCATTTTTAAAGTCAATCTTCGTAAATTTCTTTCCTTCGAGTTAAGCTATTAGATCATTGATTCGTGGTAGAGGGTATCTGAAATCTTCTAGAGCTATGTTTACAGTGTCCTTAAAATCAGCACAAAGCCTAATGCTCCCATCATCTTTGTAGACAGCAGTAACAGGACTTGCCCATCGGACATCCTTCACCGGCTCAATAATTTTATCATGTATCCATTTTTTAAGTTCATTGCTAACAAGATCAATTTTTGAATAAGGAATACGTCTAGGCGGTATAATTTTAGGTTGGGCATCTCTTCTTAAATGTAACTTGACACTTGCTTTGTTGATTGGTCCATTAGTCAATTTGGATTCACACTCTTTAATCAATTTTTTTATTTCATCTTCGTAATTAGTGTCAACATTTGCTATAAATTTATTTAAAATATTTTTGAAAGCATTGATCCATGTACGTCCCAACAAGGCATTTTTACTTGATTCAACGACTACCGCTTGTAAATATTTTGAGATACCTTCATAAGTCACTTTAATTTGAGTGATGCCGATGATCTTGATTAAATATACGTCATAAGAGATAAGTTGTAACTCGGATTTCTTAACATCTCTAATACCAAGTTTTTTAGCCAGACCATGAGGTATAATAGTATGTTTGGAGCCTGTGTCGACTTGCATACATGTAACAATATCGTTCACTTTTAAAGTAGTCATAAATGCATTATCTTTGTCATTGAGCATGTCCCCAGATAAGTTGTTAACATTGAAATCGTTATCATCTTTGTTTTTTTGTAGAGTCGACTTTCTCTTCAATAATTTCTTCAATATTCATATTATAATCATTGTTGTTGTATTGTATTTGCTTTCTATTATTGTTGTCGCTACCTCTAAAATTATTTGAGTTGTTGTTATATTGTATTTGCTTTCTCTGATTATTGTTATTATAAGATTGGTAAATGTTACGATTTCCGTCACCGTATTGGATCTGTTTTCTTTGATTATTAACATGCCATGTATTATTTCTACCATAATTAGATTGATTATTATTGTTGTAGCGATAGTTATTGTAGTTATAGTTGTTATAATTATCGTGGTATCTCGAATTATTATTACCGTAATTCCTATTGTATCTAAAATTATTGTTGTAATTCCTATTCCTATCTCTATTTCTATTATCATAATTATTTCTAAAATTATTTCTAATTTTATTAACAGGTCTAAAATAATTATTGTCATTTCTATTTCTATAGTTAAAGTTTTTATATTTATCAGACTTTTTATCGTTATACATATAACTTATATTATCAACATCTGATTTATCATTGATATTATCTAGTTTAATTCCTAGCTCTACCATTTCATTTAGGTTAATTTAATATTTTTACAAAATTAATATTTTATTTTGAAGGTAGATGTACGTAATTTTTCTTTTAATCTACTGTCGTCCGAAAAATTACATTTTTTATGTAGTTTCGATACTCTTATGTACCATTACATAAAATTCTCACTCGAATTCTGCTGTAATAAGTTAAATTTGTTTATTAAAATGTTTTTATCTTGTACAGGTAAAAGGTAAGTTAACTTTTTAGTCACTATTTTAAGATCTAATATGTCGGTATCGGAGCAAATTGATTTAATATTGTCAAAGACCTCGTCTGATAAATTATTAAGCAAAGTATTTATTTTAATAGAGTCCGGTAATGTGCTGGTCGAAAAATAATTTAATATTCTGTCTAAGTAAATCTCAATGAGTGGTCCAACCAATTTTGGAATTTTATATATTAATTCTGGTTATCCATATTTTATTAATATTTCGTATACATATTTAGAAATTATAACACTTTATATTTTTACAAAAACACAATGGAGTTGAATTAACTCCGAGTCATTATACACGTAAAACTTCCCATTAATCTGTTCAAAATAGTTGATCATTTCTTTAAGACTCACAAATTCAAACATGACGTCATCACTAACAAGTATTCTTGAGTAATGTACAACGCATTATAAGTTAATTCAAACAGTATATCATAAATAGAAATTTTCCAGGGAATATTAATAAGTTTGAATGAAAACATAATGGAAATAACTTTAAAATGATTTTTACCTTTTTTCCTTTCTTCCTTCTTTATATAGAATTTATTTGTTTCGTTTTATAATTTTTTTTATTATTCATATTTATATTTCGAAGAGAAAAAATTTTTTTTTTTTTAAAAAAAAGAAAAATTTCTAAAAAAAAATTTACGTGGTGGCGAGTTTTTTTTTGCCAACTGAGCACCATGAAGAGAAAAACAAATTTTAAGGAGAATATAAAAAATATATTTTATTAACTATTTTCATTTACTTTTCGTAAGGTACATATAACATTTTTACATTTAAAATTAGAATATAATATTAAAAAGGTTAAGATATAAAATAAATTAAAAATATAATTTGAATAAATTGAATTGTAATAACAGTACAAATATAAATTGAATTGTACAAATTTGAATATATAACAAAATAGGAAGGAGGTTTACCTTTGAAAAATCATGGCCACGCCTATGAATTGTATGGCATATATATTTCGCAATTAATATTTTATAACGCTTTTTGCCTAACACGCTTTATACCTTCATTATCCTGGTTTTTTTTTCACTGAAACGTGGAACTCAGAATTTAATATAAAATTTGTTTCAGTAAAATTTAAATAACTTGATCTAGCTTGCCTAATCCTGGAACTTTCCTGATGCCGTTTTTTAATATATTATATCTTAAATAAAAATAATGTTCTATTATATTACATTAATTGAACTAATAATTTTTAAAAGATTACCAGTGTGTTATACGTTCTAAATGATTAGTTAATTTTTTTTATAGATGCTTATAAATTCTATTGAAATAAATTACATAACAATGAATTGTATAAATTTTTATCTTTATTAAAATGATGAACTGTCAATGTCAAATCATTTATGCTTATCATTAAAAATATGATAACATTGCTATATTTGTGATCGTTAACTTCTATTCGTTCAATTTTTCTAAATTATCTCCATAAAAATCGATGTATATTAATCTAGTATGAACTTAAATAAGCCAATTAAAAAAGAATCTAAAATGAGGATTCGTGCCTTTCCAGTATTTTTATGAGATTATTTCTAATTTATATTTATTAAAAGATGTCGATGGATGAAAGATATGTCCAGAATATATGGGAATTGTTAAAGAATGCTATTCAAGAAATTCAGAAAAAGAATAATAGTGGATTAAGTTTTGAGGAATTATATAGGAATGCTTATACTATGGTACTTCATAAACATGGAGAAAAATTATATTTTGGTTTAAAAGAAGTTGTTACTCAGCATTTAATTGAGAAAGTAAATTTCATATATTCTTATTCAAATATAAATTATAAATTAATTTAGGTTCGTAAAGATATCATGGAATCTCTACATAACAATTTCTTAGCCACACTTATTAGCGCTTGGAATGATCATCAAATTGCAATGATTATGATCAGAGACATTCTTATGTACATGGTAAAAAATTTATTTAAGAAATTTTAATATCAGATTTTCATTTCTTAAATTTTAATAATCAAATTTTAATAATTCATGCAAATACTAGAATAGAAAATTGTTATTCATATCCTAAATTCAAGATAAAGCATCCTTAATTCATCTCAAAGATTTAGTCAAATCTTTAAATAGCAAGATGGACCCAATATATTGTGGCTAATGAAAGTTTAAAAAAATAAAACAAGTGATTTGCTGCATACAAATTGATTTAAGTAAGAATCAATTAGTTTTATTGGCCATAGAACAGGCTTAACTATTCTTGGCTAACCTTCACTAATTACATTCATTTAAGGGAGATGTATTGATAGTTAGTAGTAGTATCATTTGGTTTGGGGATGTATATCAATTTAATTCAGCAAAACTTTTATTGCGAATGTCGTTTATCATAATTCTGAGAATTTTTTTTCCACAAAACATTTATAGTGAAGAGAGTATCACAAATTTATTTCCAGGCACCCTTAACCCAGAATACATTTTAGCAAAACTTTTATCACAAATCTTTTACCACAAATGTATTAGTGTGGAGTAGTCTTGTTACATGGCACAATTTTTAAAAACAGCTAATCTAATATTTTAGCTAAAAAAAAATTACAGGATAGGTTCTAAATCGCCAAAACAAAAACTAAAAATTTGGAATCTGGCTTATAATTAGCAATTTAGAATGGGAAACAAAATTATGCAAGTTTCAAGATTTCATTAACTTCAGCTATCTATGAGCAACTTCACCAGACTTGCGTAATATTTTTGCAAAAATATCGGGTTAGCCATTTTTAAAACTTGAGCTGTTTAACAGCACTAATGCCAAGTTTTTATTGAGACACTATAAATATATTGTGAATGCATTTATTAGGAAAACAACATTATTATAATTATTTACCTGCATATGTTACTTAAAACATAAATGCAAAGTATTTTAAGAATCTTTTGTTACTTATTTTCTATTAAGTAAGCATGTAACTTTTATTTGATTTGATAATAAATTATAAATTTATGGGTCTCTCTTACTCATAGTTGTAAGTTTAGAGGGGGGGGGCATTTAAATTGAGTTTTTTATCCCAATAACTCCCTACCCCTCAACACAAATTTTAAAATGTACTTTATGCAAATAAAAGTAAATTTTAACAAATTTTGAAATGCTGGAATTTTTTCTATGCTTAATCAAAATAAAAAATACTGAAAGTTAAACAAGTTTACTGATTTTCTTCAATTATTTTTAAAAATCATAACGATTTTGTTAAGTAAATTTTTTTAAATTAAATTTACAGAATTGGAATTTTAAATATTTTTTTTATAAATAATAAAAGGGATCATTTTTTAAAATCTTTTATTTCTCTAGAAAATTGTCCCTCTATTGGACCCCACAATCTAAACATGTTAAGTATTTGTTTCTGAAGAAAGAGAGGATTAGGAAAATTAGGGAAACAAATCATCTAATTTTCAATTTATAATAATTGTTATAGTTTTTTTGTTTTGGATATTTTATTTTTAATGCCAGTTAAATTTAAATAATAGTGTTTGTTAGGAAAAATTACTAAACACCTTGCTCAATTTGTTTGCACTTTTACTTATTTTTCTCTAATAAAATAGTATTAATTCTAATCAGGATTTTCGAAAATAAATATATAATATGACCAGTTAATAAATACAATTAGTTCCAGATCAAACATATCAAGATGTTCTTAAAGAAGATCTGCAAAGCACGGCCCACAGGTTGGGCTTAAAAATTTAATAAAAATTTTAATGAGCTGGACAAAAAATTATACCGAGCTAGGCCAGGAAAGTTGTGCATAAAAAATTTTAGGCCAAGCAATTAGATAAAAAAAAAATCTATTCAGGCCGAGCATGACAATTTATATATGTATATAAATCAAGCAGAGTATCTCAAATGAGTTTTCATAAAAATTATACAGGCCAGCGCATGCATAAATATTTTGATATATTTTTTTCCAAGCTAATATTCTGATTTACTACATTATGTTAATTTCTTTGTATTTTAAGAGCTGTCTAACTAAAACACTAAATCAATTAACAGTATAGTATTAACCAAAAAAGTTAGAAATAGAAAACCATAAAGGTGAAATATAATGACTATGGGAGAAAATTAGATACAGATATTATAAATGTGCAGGCATATTTGTACAAAATTCGGTTCGAGTCGGACTATTAATAAAATTTATTGGGTTGGGCTTAATTTTTTGTAAATTTTTAACGGGCCGGGCCGTGTAAAATATTTAATGGTCTGGGGCTGGTAACTTGTGAAATTCTTGTCGGGCCGGGTTTTACATACCTCTAACTTCTATATCGTGACTCCGGGCAAAACGGGATAATTGTTTATTTATATTTATTTACCCTAACGTATTTATACATTTTTTTCTGGGAAAACTTATATCTTAGGGGGCAGGCTTGTAAAAATTTTTTAGCATAAGAGTTTTATATAGGTAATAAAATGAATTTTTAATAGAAAATTAGTGCTAAATTATCACTCTAAGTCCTCGGTAGATCACGGGGAAAGCATAGGACATGATAGCATAAAAAGTTATATTCAAATAATAAATTTTATAAACCAATTCTATGCTCAATAATCACTCTATACATTTATTAAGGTTAAAAGTTAAAAAATTTATCATCGAATCGATTTTTTGAACTATTTTTTTTAAATATTAATTAATTTATATGGCCTTAAAAATAATGTTTAAAATAACACTATTAGCCATTATTGCGATAATATCTTCGCGATATATATGTTTCACGGAATAGTATTTTGCTTCACGATTTGCTTTTGCGATAATGTCTTTATATAATTTTCGCTATTTTAAATCTGTGATAACGGTTTCACGATATTAATTTCTCAATATTGTCTTCGCTGAATAGTATTCGCGATATATGTTTCGCGATAATAAACATTAACGATAAAAGTTTCGCTAAAAAGTATTTCGTTGAATCGACATGAAACCCTGATGCACAGTATTTTTTAATTTTATTTTATCCAGCCTATATTAATAAAAATTAATATAATTATTTATTAATTAACCCATTAATGGTCAACCAACATACATCTCCAATGATTTTCCACATATTAATTATATAAATTGAAATAATTTACATATTATTCTTATAGCTCAAGCATATAAAAAAAATTTGAAAATTATTTCTTTTTGAGTATGCTGGATGTCATTGAAGTTTGGAAATTTTCGACGATTATAATTTATGATCTGCATTGTGCCTAATTTTTCAAGCCTGACCTGGCCAAAAATTAAAAAAAAAAAATTTGTCTGCTAAATTCTGAACGAATTTTTTTTTATTTGTCCCAAAAAACCTGACTCGGAATAATGTCCATCCGGTCCGCCCGAATTTATTTATATTTAATTTAAGTCTGGCCAGGTCTAGATTTTTTTAGGGCTGTGCCTATATTAAATATCGGTACCGATACTTGGTGTTGTCCGAAAATATCGGATCGAGCCGGTACCTCTAAAAACCGATTTGATCTTTTTACTTTTCTTTTTTTTGTTATTTTATTTTATGTTATGTATATTTATTTTACATAATTATAATATTTTCTAAATAATTTTTTTAAATTTTATTTCTTTTTTAAAATAGATTTATAGTATTTTAAAATAAAAATAGAAAGGAACACCCAAAGTTTTATTTATTTTAAATCTTTTTAAATAACGCCAATTTTTTTATTTATACTTTAAATAAAAGAATTTTTTTAAATATGATATCTGAATTATGGAAATATTTACAAAAGACAAAGATAATTTTGCAAAATGCGTTATCTGCGGAATCATCTGAGTCTGCCTTCAGTACGGCAGGAGATATAGATAGTCCATATCCTAGAAGCTTATTCCCAGAAAATCTAGAGGCTCTCATATTTATTAAAAAAATCTAATATATTATAATTTTATATATTAAATATTACAATTTTATAATTCATACCAACATAAAATGGATATATTATTAAATATATATTTTTTTATTATAGTCTTAACTCTTAATTGTAGAAATAAAAAAATTAAATAAAATTCATAATTCTATTTTTTGCATAAAAAATATTGATTTCTTAATCACATTTTGGTTCAAACGGGAATGATTAAAAATCAGTATAAAATCGGATCGGTTTTGAAGCAATATCGGAAAATATCGGACAGGTGAAAATATGTGGATCGGCACAGCTCCAATTTTTTTATAAATATTAGAACCGAACTCAAAAATATTATTTATAATAAGCCCGCCCAAAGCCCCTTTAAACTGGGTACGGGCCAGGATTTGCAGATCTCTAAATATAATGCTACATGTTCTAAGCTCCCTCGTTGAAGAGCATTTTTTAAAATGCAATTGACACAAATTTATTTTTTATAGATGCCTTAACCTGTAATTAATTTTGGCCCATACTTTTATAATCATTTATTTTTATTATACCATTTTTACAATTATTATATTTTAATATCTTATATATTTTTAAAGGTTATAATTTGAATATTATATTTGTAATATAAAATTATAACTTTCCTACATTTAATATTTAATTTGATAATTATATAAAAGTATATATATATATACAAAAGAATTACAAATAAAATTCATTATTTTTAAACGTAATCGATACAATAACAATGTTGACCATATAAGAGTATAAAATTAATAAAAATCTTCAACAATTTGGTATTATTTTACACAATTTATGCATAAATGAACAAATAACACCATATCGGATAACACATTCCTTTAAAATGTTTGTCAAAGGCAACTCCATTCGATTTGGATATAAAGCATCGACCCCTGCTTTCTCCATTGGATTAATATTTGCATTTAATATATATCAAAAATAAAAGCCCAATGGCTTCGAATCTTGGATTAGGATGTACGGTGTTTACAAATTTACTCAAAACTCTCTCTTGCATTCTATTTACTTCGATATTCATTTACATTAAAGCTTTCATTGAATTTGAAAATTTCTCCACTAGAATCAATAAGTTATGGCCATAGAAGTGAGAAGCTATTACGAATACCGATTTAAAAAGACAAATGAAATATTTATAGCTAACTGGAATGATAGTTTAGTGATGTCAGTTGCAGTAACAGGCAAAGCTCTTAGTCCTCTACTCTATGCAAGATGCCAAGATTTTCTCGAAAGATTTTCTCAAAATAGAAATTACACAACCTAATCTAATAAATTCATAGTAGATATGTGCGATAATCTAATGTCATAGAATAAATATACGTGATAAAAAATGGTGGCCTATTTTCAACAATTTTATTGATGTAGCAATGGTAAATTCGCGAGGAAAGGGAATCGAGATCCTGATGATAAAAAATTGTTACTTCATTTTGGTAGGAGATAATTAGGACACTTTTGAAAACTCCCCAAGTAAACGAAAAAGGTGGACAAATATTGAAAGTCTAATTTTCCTAACTAATTGAAACAACTGAAAATTATTATGGATATTTTAATAACGATAACTGATAACAAAAGAAGACGGTGTAAATTTTGACATAACCAGTCAAGATATATATGTAACATGTGTCATATTCCAATACTATTGACTGTTATTAGAAAAATTATGAAATATATAAATTTACAATATTGTATCTAATAAATGTAAATTATATCAATAGAAATTCTATGTTGTATTTTACAATAATGTGATATCTTACTTTCATGCCCTATGGTCAAACATTGCATCGGTTTATTTCCTATTTAGGATGCTTTTTTCGCACGGGTCAGTTAGACTATAAATAAAATTTTTGAAATTATGAATTTTTATCAGCACTAAAAAGTCTGGCCATTATTGGGCTAAGAATAAAATGAAATTTCAATTTAGTGATGTATTTACCACTAAATTTAAATTTCCTCTTCCTAAACGAAATTCAAAGAATCAAAGCTGCTTACAATTTTTTATATTTTGACTTTAATAATATTTGTATATTAGCATTAATACTTCAACTCCTATTTTTTTTAAATAAAAACCCCGCCCTCCTTTTCCTTCAAAGTAAAATCCTAAATATGCTACTGATTGAGGATATAAAATAATTTAAGTCATTTTTTTGTTTCTCATTGATAAGAATACACTTCAACAAAGTTTATTTGATAAAACATGGATTTGAAAATTATAATATTATAAATGGATCATGTTCTTTTAGGATAGAGTTTACGTTCAACAAAACAATGTAGATAATGTTTACAACTTGGGCCTCATCATATTTCGAGATATCATCATTAAATACCCTCAATTGCATGATTTCCTCAAAAATACCTTACTCGATAATATCATGAAGGAACGTAAGGGTGAAATCATAAACAGGTATGTATAATTTTTGAATAATGTATCAAAAATGTTTTATTTTAAAACTCATAGATCATTTTAATATGGTTTGTAAAACTTATCAATTTTTGTATAAAATCGTAAATATGCCTGCCAATATCTGATCGGTTACACGGGATTGCTTAATTTTATTTTTAAGGGATCGCCTCATTTTTAAATATATTTTTATTATTATGGCAAATAGGGTTTGTTTGCATAGCTAAGGTCCAATGCAAGCTGCACGATTTTAAAAAATTTGCACGATAATATATCGCAACAGCTTTGAATTCAATCTCTTTAATTAGATGTAAAATAAATGATTGCATTGTTCGATTAATTTTAATTTACCCCATAAATTACTTTCCTCTATGTCATATGTTTATAATTATTTTCAATATAATATTGATTTAAATATATATAAAAATGTCGATTTATCAAATACATTAATTTTTTATTTTTAGTTATACTTTTTATCAAAATAGTATTAGGCTTTTTTTGTGTTTTAATACCATGTTAATGTTTACTCACTAAATTACGAAATAAGTTATAAAATATATTGCCTAAAAAAAGACCAATCATTTTGCATAAAGCGCATTTTTGAAAATCATTTATATAGGATCGCGATAAAGAACGTTTGCCAGATGCTTATGATATTAGGCATCGACTCCAGATCCATTTACGAAGATCATTTCGAAAAACCGTTTTTGTTACAATCGGCAGAATTTTATAAGGTTACATATTTTTATATAAGCCATTTGATCAAATTTAAAAATGAATCAATAAGTTTTTCCAAATTAAGTTTTTTTAAAAACGCATCCCTTACATTTTTTTTATACAACGCAAAATTAAAATCATGATGGTATCGATAAATTTATTTATAATTAAGAACACTAGGTAGGTTATAATATACGAACCCACTTTTAGGACCATACTTTGACTCTGATTTTTGCTTGAGATCTGGACTATTTATTTTATTATTTTTTTAAAACTTATTAGTTAAATTACTAGAATTTGTCTGAACAAATGATCCTGAATAATGATACTATTTTTTTTTGAAAATATTTATAATGGATCACACAAAGTCGGAGAGTCAAAAATTTCTGGCGGAAAACAGCGCTTGTCTCTACGTTCACAAGGTAGAGGCTAGGATTAACGAAGAAGCTGAGAGAGCTAATCACTATTTGGATAAATCTACCGAAGATTATATAATTAAAGTAACTCTTTATAAACCTTGCCAATTTTTTTTTAATTTAAGATTATATAGTTAAAATTTCATATGGCCATATATGCACCCTTGATTAAGTATTACCTCCTGTGAAGTGACCATTTCATCAAATATTGCTCCTCGACACCTACTAAAATCAATGAATGACAGGATTTAACTATTCTATATAATGACTACCTCCTTAAATGCCCTCAAAATTATAAGCGCTCTCGAGTTGTTTACCATATAATTTAACTAGGCATTAATTCATTTTGAACTAATTTTAACAATGGCTAAAAAAAGGTTTGTTTTATTTGAAATTTATTTTTAAAAAATTAGAGATTATTTTTCCAGTTGTTTTTTTTTTAATTTTTTTATTTCGGTTTAAAAAAAGAGTATAAAATTGATTCAAATCAATGATTTTATATTTAATTTTACCTGAAATCTTAGAAAATTAATCATAATAAAATTACCTTATCTTTTAAAGTTAATTTAATAAAAAATATCCTCCCTTAAAATTGTCATTTTGGCAGAATTAATACATTATAAATAATCGAATATGTATTATAAATCAAATAACGTTGCTTGAAAATACACTAATAAAAAGAATATTTTCAATATTACATAACCCCCCGTAAAGCTTCCATTGTCGTCAATTGAGGGCAATTATATTTTGGCCACTTTAAGGAGGTCGTCACTTTACACAATAAATTTTATGTCGATTCTGGCACATGGACCAACCAAGAGTGGTCATAAAAGGGAGGTCGTAAATTATTCGAATTGTATAGTAAATACATGAGAAATCGTTTCGCCAAACGGTAATATAAAATTTGCCTTAAAATTTGGTTCAACGTGCTCCACCATTGGTTTCATTTCTATATTTTGGCGAGTGAAATGTCTGATTGGTCAATTTTAAAAATCACAAATTTTATATTTTTTATTTGTTGTAAAAATATGTAATTAGATCATTTATAATAAGTTTGAATTAAATAAGCTCTAAATAATTATTCAAGGATTAAGTTAGAATAAAAAAAGATATAACGTTCTTATAAGTGTTTGATCTATATTAATTAACAAAAATTTGAATATTGTTATGGTCATCGTTTAGTCCTAGCTGGATGATATATGTATGTCGATATTATAACATAAGAAATACTTTCTTTATGTTAATATCTTTATTATAAATTTTTGTAAAAATATGAAAGGTCGTCGAAGAAGAATTGATATGCCAACACATGAAGACCATTGTCGAAGTTATAGTCATTGAATTAATTATTTTATTTGTTATGTTAATAAATTATTATATTTACCTTCAAATTTTGAATATTTCTTTATTTTTTTTTAAAAAAAAAAATTTTATATAAAAGTTATGGCATTAACATTTTTCTTGTTTGTATATCTATGTATCTTCAAACCTATTTGTTATAGCTCATTAATCATTACAGTTTAAAAAATTCCGTAAAATAATAGCTAAAGTGCATTCATTTATTGTCATAATCTTAAGATTTGGTAACTTTATAGAAATATTAATATATCAATGATAATGGAATCTATTTTTTTAAATATAAAACTTTTCTATTAAAAATTTGAAGGATTTAGCCGAAAAATTATTCAACGTTGACGCTCCCCTTAAATTTTCTTTCATTTTTAGCTTTGAATAACTTTCTTTTTTTCTCCTTTTCTTACAAAAATTTGTAAATTTATTAATAAAAAAAATTATTATATCAGGTAAATTTATATTACTTGTCACAAGGTGTTTTTTTAAGAAAGCTCTTTTTTAAAAAAATTTTTAAGTATAAAATCACGTGGAAATATAATATTATATACATTTTTCCTCTGATTGTTGGCTTAATTTTAAAAATCATTTTGAGCACCTGATTGTTTTTGCAGGGAATTTTTCAGATCCGTCCTAATCTTCAGGGCTTATTTAAATAGTATTAAGTGTATTTGTAGATATAATATGCCAAAAATTTGGCGAAGTTTAGTCTCGGCATTGGCTTCTAAGCTTTATATATTTTTTTATAAGTTAAATTTTTGTTAACTCCTAGTTGGAATTTAAGATTAAAATTATATAAATACACTTTTAACAGTTTATTTTATATTTTCCCCTCTTTTAGTTTTATTTTGGTTGTAGAAATATTTTTCAACAGTTTTATGGTTTTATACTTTTCCGCTGAAAACTATAAAATAATTAAGTTATATTCTACCTATTCACAAAATTATTTTACACCAATTTATAACTCAATTTTTTTTTAAATATATGGCGCAGTTATTTTTGATATTTTTCAATTTATAAAAAGATTATAAAAAATTAATCAATCATATAATATTTAATGTTTTTAAACTATTTATTTATTTTTGTTAAAGCAAATGGTAATTGTTTATTTCTTCAAAAAATATTAATTTTAAAAAATATATTAAATGAATCTCTTGTCTAAAAAAAAAGATGGAAAATTCGGGCGTGACACATATGTTAAAAAACGACAAAACGGCGGACTTAGCTTGCATGTACAAACTCTTGAGCAGGGTACGCAATGGTTTGGAATGCATGACCCAATGTGTTAGTACTTACCTCAAAGATAAAGGACTGAGTTTAGTGAGTGAGCGACCCGATTGCGTTGCTTTAAGAAATCCTGTTACCTTTGTCCAAGTATTATGATTATCATTATATTGCATTTGTTGTTTCTTATGAAAATCCTTATCTATATCATATTAACTGATCGCCCAATAATGAGTTACATGCATGTATCATTATCGAAAAATTCTTTTCCGTGAGTCTTAATTTTTGCAAAGAGATATTTCCATGATTACATTTTTTGAATTTATTTCTGCAGAAACAATACGAGGCGGAATTTAATTTAATATTTTGTTCTATTTTTAAAATATACTCCTATATTGGTGTTTTATTGATGAAATCTAGAGGATGTGTAAGTTTCCAAACATGATCTTAAGAAATTTACTACTGCATATATAATAAAAATCCTAGCCCACATCGCACCTTAGTTTAAGATGCAAAATCGGCATTTACGTTAATATTTTCATGGATGCATTTATATTTTCATAAAATCGACACTTGCGGAAATGCCATTAATATAAAAAAAATTTGCTATATTGACCTTATATGCCAAAAATATATATCAATATATGATCATCCTTATATATTAACATGAAATTCTTTTAAAAAAATTTTTGAATTAACAAATTTTCTTGAAATATCTGTACTGAATTGTTTTTTAAACAAATTTGAAGGTTTTTAAAAACAATTATCTCTCATCTAACACGACCTAAAATCAAATGAGAATTAACAAATCTTATTACATAATTTTTTGTCAGGTCGGTTTAAATGAAAAATTATTAATTAAACTACACTTGGAGTTTTTATAATATTCACTCATGGTGTTGTGTTGCTAGTGGGGGTAAATGCATATTCGCAAAAAGTTTCTAAGCACCATATGATAGAAACTTAAATATCCGAATTTAAAAAATTAAAGCCAAGCTGCCTGATATTTTTTTGATTTGTGGGGGGAGGGAAGTGGCTACACTCGAAATGCCTTTAGGGTCTTACAATAAAAGATTAAATATATAGAGGTGGACTGTTTTTAACCTTTGTTAATAAATTTTTATAAAATTTGCCTTTATTAATACCATATAAAAATAATTATTTTATTTCTCTCTTAGAATTTGTTAGAACTGAAAGATCAATTCGACCATTTTCTTCACGAAGCCTTCTCAAACGACAAACTATTCAAGCAAGCCATAGCGGCTGATTTTGAATATTTCCTGAATCTAAATCCTAAATCACCAGAATATTTATCCCTTTTTATCGATGACAAACTCAAGAAAGGCGTCAAGGGGGTACAATTTTAAATATATTTTAAGCCCTCGATTTGAAGGTCAACTCAGATTTAAATCAGACCCGGTTATTAGGCCCGAAGTTTAATATTCAATTTTGACTTTATGAAAATGGGTTAACCATGAGCGACATTAAATTATCATTCATTCAATATAGATTCAATAGCGAGTCTTATTTTCACCTTAAGGATAATTGATGCAGTTTTGACATATTTATATTTATAAAATGATTAATCCAATTCCTGCCCATATTTTCTCTTCTCTTTTATATTTTTCTTTTATAGTTTTTATCGCTTTATAAATACAAGCAAACTTATCAATTTCATTTTCTTTAAATTATGCTATCATAAGCTATCTGAACAAGAAGTCGAAAATATGCTAGATAAATCAATGGTCCTCTTCAGATTTTTACAGGAAAAAGATGTCTTCGAACGTTATTACAAACAACACTTAGCCAAACGGCTCTTACTCAATAAAAGCATATCAGACGATACAGAAAAGAGCATGATTTCTAAACTTAAAGTAATCGGCTGAAGTGTTTTAAAATACCTTAAATATATAATACATCCTTCAACATTATTGAAGGTTATCCAAGCTAGAGGTTTGCAATGAACGGGGTTTTAGCCCACCCGACTATTCTAAGGCGACCATGGGTGGGCTTTCTAAGATTAAACATTGAGTGGCTGAGCGGATAGGTTAAAAAATATTTTTAAAATAATGGGAGGGTGATTTTAAATATTTTTTCGGGAGAAATGAGCAGAGCCGATTTCATTCATAAATCTTTTTTTCATAATATTGCATATTTTATAAGTTTAAAATTACATTAAAATAAATAAAGAGCCAAACCAACCATTAAAATAATTTTTAAACTGGTGGGTTAAACAAAATTTTAGATTCTTGATATTTTCTTTCGGAAAACTACAGTCATGAGCGTCGATCCCGATTTGAGACTGAGTGACTTCAAATTGATTTTTAAAAAGTAGATAATTTATGCTAAAATCAGGAACTCGATCTGTACACTTTGGCTAATAACCCGTTGTTAACATTTATAGCTGTTTGGTTATATTCCAGCTGCTAAATTTAAATAAACGTAGGATAAAAGGATATATAAAATTTTTAATCAGCTAAAATAATAAGATTAACATGAAATATTTTTACAAAACCGTTCTTGAACCTATTCAAAAAATATATAACTTCTGTTTGTTCTATTCCTAATTTCGGTTCCCTACGGTTCAGAAAATTATAGCAGTTCATTCTAGTTTTACAGTTCGATTTGTTCCAGTTGCTTCTATTATATTAATTTATATCTTACACATATTCATTTTTAAAATAATAATAAGACCGAGTGTGGTTGTCAATTTACGGCAAAATTGGAAGGCATGTTCAAAGACATGAACGTATCTCAGCTTTTGAATAACGATTTTAACACCCACTTGACTACGACTAACGTAAAAAATTAAAATTTATATATATATACTTTTTAAATATAATACTTGTGTGCACTCTATGAACTAAATTTTTTCTTTATTATCTTTATTGTTAACTTATAATTTGTGGTTTATTTTATTGAGAGGGCTAAGGTAATATATATAAGTTTTACCGAAATGTGTAATTATAAATAAAGAAGAAGAAAATTGATTAATATTTCCATAATTTTTCAAGAATATTAATTAGGCTTATAGTTTGATTTTAGTAGAACAAAAAAGTCAATCATTATAAAGAAAGGGAAGATGGGAATAAATAAAAAAAATTGTAAGGAAATTTGTGATCTAGCTGGAAAGAAATTTAATATTAAATTTTTTATAATAGAACGCGAATGGGATAGATCTTACAGTACAAGTCTTAACCACGGGTTATTGGCCGACCCAATCCATCTCACCACATTGTATACTGCCCCTATTGGCGCGGAACATATTCGACCAATTCAAAACGTAAAATTTTATTTGATCATTTGTAACAGTTGGATTTTTTTTTAATTATATGCAGTTTTCTAGCATTTTTCCTCATTAAATCATTTCCTTATATAAAAGTCTTACAAAATTATATTACTTTATTAAAATTGAGTATTATCGATTAGATAATGATTAACTCTTAAAATATATTCTACATTTTTATACTTTGATTATTCTCTTAATTGAAAATAAGGGTCATCGCCATTATCTTATTTAGACATGCTAATAAGTCAATTTTTTAATCATAATATTTAGACTTGCTCAAAAAATAAACATTTTGTTCTTAGGTATATTTTAATCTAGGTATGATAACGCCCTTTTGCCTTATCTTAAATGAAGTGAAGTTATTAGCTATAAATTGTCCTAGTTTTTTTTTGAAAATAATCAATTATATACTTTTCCATTAAAATATATTGAATTCACGATTAACCTAATTATTACATATAAAATGTTCTCGAACAACAACTCATCAAATCAAAAAAATATTTCAAAAGTTTTTACCTGAACAAGCATTGCGGACGTCAACTCACTCTTCAACCTCAATTGGGCTCGGCTGATATAACTGCTATTTTTTATGGTCCAACTAATACTATTACCACCACGACTAACAACAACAGTCTTCAAAACGATTTGAATTCTTCTACACTCGACAACGAAGCTGAGAATATAATATCAGATTCATCTAATGCAATAAACGTGGAATCTAATACGATCCACAACTTTATCATTAAAAATAATATGAGTGGGACGGCGAGCAAAACGGTAACTCCCAGAAAACATATAATATCGGTTTCGACTTATCAGATGTGTATACTGACTCTTTTCAATGGTCGGAATAGGTGGTCTTACGAAGTAATCATAACGATTTTTTTTAAATATAATATTAATTTTGGAATGTTTAACATGCTGGTTAAATATTTCTAAAACAAATTTTATTAGGGGAGAATAGTCAATTTTAAAATCTATGTATCCTCCAAAATTTTAATTTTGAAAACCCTTGGAATCATTGGGAACAAAATTATAGTTTAAATTATGGCTTAGATTAGATTATTAAGAATTTAAGTATACTAATTATAAGATTTTTTTTTAAACCTATAAATTTATTCATGCATTTCCTAATCACATTAATAAAAGGAAATAGCCTCTGAAACCGATATTCCTGAACGGGATTTGATCAGAGCTCTTCAGTCATTAGCTTTGGGAAAACCTTCGCAGAGGATTTTGCTGAAAACACCCAAAACTAAGGAAATAAGTTAGCTATATAATTATATTAGTGTGATATAATTGCCTAATTTTTAGAGTCCAGTTGGCCATTTTTAAAAAATTTAAACCATTCTCTGTGTTCAGTCTGTAATTTAAATTTTTAAAGTAATTTCCATCCCTTTCTTTAATTATAACATGTTCTAACAAAAAATCAAAGGAAAAAATTGTGAAACATTTATTCAAAGCCCAGGTGGCTAACCTTAAATATTCTCAGACCAGATGAGTATAAACAAGCCTGATTGGTCTTTCTTGTCCCCGCTTACTTATCTTACCTTGTTTTAAACGGGAGTATATAAAAAAATGTTTAAAACTATATAATTTGCTAACTAATAATAATATTTTGTAGGTAATGACCACGTATTTACTGTTAACGATTCCTTCACTTCCAAACTACATAGAGTCAAAATACAAACTGGTCAGTCAAATTATTATTTTTTCTCCTACAAGCCATTATCATATCGATTAGAAAAAGGTCGTGATTCGGATTAAAGTTCATCCAGTTGTTTTTATCGAATTAACATTAGGTCAGAAATCCTGGAGCAATCATTTAAAATTTCAACAAAAAAAATTATTGCTGGGTCTTGGCCATTCCGAAATGATTTACTAAAATAAATGCAAAAATATAAAAACCACACCTCTAGAATTTTAAATAATTTTTTCGCTTTTGAATCTGAATATCATTAAAATATTTTTTTTAGAATTTATTCTTTCTAAATCGATTATTGAAAATGTTAGGTTTAAAATATTTGTTTATCTTATCTCTATGCACAAATATCCTTACATATTCCCCTATTCGGCCACCCTTGATTTTTAGCTTATATACTTTAAATTTAATAATTAATCTTAAAAAATTAAAATCTTAATTAATATAAATATATATGAAATTAATTTATGTTATGTATAGAAATTAAAATTTAATTATATATGAACGAACTTTTATAAAAAATATTTGGAACATTTAAGTAATTGATCATCTTCTTTAAAAAAAAATTTTGCTTACAATCATTTAAAGATTAAAACAAAAAAAAAATGATAAATAGGTTTTAAAATTATTTTTGACCAAAAAATCCATAACATTTCTTATATTTTTGAATATAAAGAGAACCCTTCTTCAGGCGCCCCCTTCCCCTGTTTTCATTGAAATCATAATATACAAAAATTATGTTTATATATTTTCTTAAAAATAAAGTTTAAAAATAGTAATTATGACAATTATCATTTTCTATTTTCCATCTTCACTGAAATCATATAACTTATTTATATTTATTTTTACCAATGCTAAATTCTAAAAAAATTGCAACTTAGATGGTACATCCTCAGTGAGATAATATTTTAAGAAATATTTTAATTTTTCTTGGTGACGGGTTATTTTTGTTATTTAAAAAAAATTACACTGAATTATTTTCCTCCTTGTAGGACGATAATTTTGAATAGTTATATATTTTAATAATTTATATTAATTTTTGTTCAGTTGCTATTTTATAATAGATGGTTATGAAATAATATGTGTTATGATTTATTTTAATTAAAATTTTAACACTAAAAAATAAGAGTGGTTGCATACATGTCAATGAAGTTGGATAGTATGTTATACACGTTTTTCTATTTTGTTTAAGTTACCGCTAAGCCTAATTCTCAAAACAATGCCAACTCTTCTCTCAACTCTTCTTCCCATCCTTCGTCCTACAATAACCAAGCTTACAATGACTATTACGATGATACCAATGACAAAGACAGGAAAGAGATGAGAGAGAGAGTCGAGGAGGATAGGAAACTGGAGATAGAAGCTGCAATAGTCAGAGTTATGAAGGCTAGAAAGAAGCTTTCCCACGCTCAATTATTGACTGAGATTAGCGAACTACTTAAAGCTAGGTACTTTGTTATTATTAATTTCGTTATCCCTCCCTCCTCCCCCCCCCTTCTACCAAATTTTACTTCATTTTTTAAAAAAATCAATTAATTCTTAAAACATTTAGTGGCATCATAGTAGCTTCTTTTTTTTAAATGTTAACGTCTATCTATATTTTTACAAAGTGGTTTAACATATATATTAACATAAATAATAAAAGATTTCTACCTCAGCCTGGGGCCGTCAAAAAGAGGGTTGAAGCTTTGATTGAAAGGGAATACTTAGCGCGATGTGATCAAGATAGGTCAGTAACATTTTTTTAATTAATTTACTTGAAACCTTATTTATTTAAAAAGAAAAATATTAATTGCTTATTTAACCTATATCTCCAATCCAATTCTATAAAAAAAATAAACATTCTCATATTTGAAACTATATTGTAAAATAATGTTTTTGTTATCTTATTTATGGTAGTTGATTACTTATTTAGAAATATATTTGATCTTCTCATTAGACAGATTGATGTTAAACAGGATATTTTGAAATTTATCAAGGCCATGGCTTATATGGATTTCATATTTTAATAAACATTTAATAATTACTAGAGGATAATAGATTGAATAATGCACTGATTAGCAGATGCACCAAAACTCATGTTGTCATATTAACAGATTTCTAATATAATCATTAATTTTTATAAAAAAAATTAAAAAATAGTCTACATTAAGGCATGAATTGATAAGGAAGAAAGCATTGTTACCCCATCTATATATAAAACAAATTATATTTCATTTGAAAGTCCACCATTTTTATTGCTTAAATTAATAATCAAAGGATATTTTTGTAAAAATGAAGGATGGGATTTTTTTTCAAATATACGGTTTTTTTTATTATAGTTCCTGTAAAAAAATTGGTTGTAATGGCTTATAACATTTCTGCTGATTAATGAACACCTTTTGTGCCTCATTAATATTTAGATTTTACATCATTTAGAAATTTAGGTTAAAAATAAATTATAATCATATCTTTTATTCTGACCTCATGCAAAACAATTATTTAAAATTTTAATTAAAAAAATTATTTTTGGTTTATTAAATAACTAATTTTACATTAATTTATTTTAGAAAAATGTACACCTATTTAGCCTGAATCATTCTTTCAAAACAAAATTTCATCCTACCAAAAAATCCTGTAACCTAATTTGCAAACCAATTTTAAAATATTTTTAATATCAATTAAATTAGTGATTTATATTTATATAATAATGTAAATCGTTTACATGTTAAAGTTGTCTGTTTTATAAATCCATAAGTTATGTACAAGTCACACATTGAAAATACAACTTATAACATATGGATAAATATAATAATATTAATATAATGATTTCGATTAGCCTTTATTTTATTATTTTTTTCCCCAAATGATTTTTATACATAGTCTTTATTTACACTATATATTTATTATGCTTATAATTCATTATATTTTATATTTCAATGATCTTTTTTATTTTCTCATAAATAAATCAATATCTATTATGAATTGTGCAAACTATATTTATTTGAATTCGATTCAATTTGTTAATAAAGGATAACTCTTACTTTTATATAAAAGTTGAGGTACAATTAAAGGAGTCAAAAATAGCTAATTTATATTCATTTAATAATGATATTAGTTTAGGTAAGGATTCCATCTTCCTTTCTAATGTGTCATGTATTATTTTCCAATAAGAATCTGGAATTTGAATATGATTTTCATCTTTAAAATATTTATCATCATGGTTTAATTCTAAAATTTGATAGTATATTTTGAGGTGATTTGTTAATGAAGGATATTCTATTTGACTTTTAAGTGTACCTGATGCCATTAATGAATTGTAAATTGGAAAAATTATTTTTATGATGTTTTTGTTCATAGATGAGTATAAAACTATATATGAAAAATTGTATTCTTCATTTATATATATGATTTCATTACAAAATTTTGTTATCACATCTTCAAATTCATGTGGTAAATTACCTTTACTTGAAATTAAATTTGTATTAAAAATGCTAAATGATGCAATATTTGATGTTATTATATATTCTCCTAAAATTTTAAAGCAGCTAAAACACACAATATTATTTTTAGTGTTTATATTTGCATAATCTTTAAATAAAATACAAAAGGGTTTCTTATAACAAGGTACCTCATTACAACCACTGTGGGAATGACAATAAAATAGTTCATTTACACTCTGATCAAAATTAGGTGCATATTTAAGCTGAGATATTCTGACATTTGAGATTAATTTAGCTTGACAAAAGGTACAAAGAATTGAACAATTTTTTTTAACAGCTTCATTTTTTAAATTATCTATAAAATAATTTGACAAATCATCAAAACCTATTCTAAGTGAAATATTATTGTCACTTATTATTATATTTGTACAGTTTGTAGGATGCAAATGTATTTTATTTAAAATAATTTGATACTTATTGTAAATTATAATTCTATCATTTTTAATAACAAAATCTGAAATGTGAAATCTATTTTTAATTCTAGAATTGGTATTATAAACAAGATAAATAAAATAATTATAACTTGATGGAATTTTTATTCTCGAGGTATATATATAAGGATTTTATTAACAAGTTGATGTCGAGACAATATAAAATTTCATCCATGTGATTTAGTGAATGAAGGTAAATAAATATTTAATGTTAAGTCCCAACCGGTCTGTTTTATCTGTCGATATATAATTGACATTTATAGACGTTTTTTAATTCGTTTTCTGGTTCCCTCAATAATTCAACAATTTTTTTATTTCATGAATATAATAATGAATGATACGAACTCGACGAAACAGCGTAAAATAAAATAATAATCCCATAATGTATTACTCCACTAAAAAAGTCATAAATATATCTATTTTTAAAATATTAATAATAGTAAATTTTTAGTATATTAATAAATATGTTAATTTTTTCCCAATAAATTACGTTATTAACATTCAATTTATAAATACTAATTTTTATTATATTAATATATATGGCCATTAGATAAACTCTACCTTCTTTAAATATTATCAATAAAATACTATAAGGTAAATATTTTTAATTAAAAATAATGCTTAATATTAATTTTTTAAATATATTATAAAAATAATTTATTCTAGAGCAATAAATACGTTATTATAATTTTCACAATAAATTGTTATTGCCTAATGCGCCTAATATAATATGAATCATTTTTAAATCCTAAGGGAGATGAAAGACTTACGCCAAATGGCGTATTAGCAAGAAATAAAAGTTATATTTTTTCTTATTTATACGCATTTTCCGAATCGATAAAAAAGTTACGAAAATTTAACGAATCATTTAAAATTTGTATTTATAATAAAATGGATGTATAAATAATATCGTGGACGAAATTTAGTAAACTATAAAGCAATATAAAAATTTAAAATACATAAATCTTTATATATGAGATTTTAGAATGTCACCAAAAAGTACTACCATAGTAATACCTTTTTAAAATACATAAATCTTTATATATCAGATTTTAGAATGTCACCAAAAAGTACTAGCATAATAATACCTTTTTAAAATACATAAATCTTTATATATCAGATTTTAGAATTCCACCAAAAAGTACTACCATAGTAATACCTTTTTAAAATACATAAATATTTATATATCTGATTTTAGAATGTCACCAAAAAGTACTACCATAGTAATACCTTACTTATTTCCCAATATTTAGTAAACTATAAAGCAATATAAAAATTTAAATACATAAATCTTTATATATCAGATTTTAGAATGTCACAAAAAAGTACTACCATAGTAATATCTTTTTAAAATACATAAATCTTTATATATCAGATTTTAGAATGTTACCAAAAAGTACTACCATAGTAATACCTTACTTATTTCCCTTTAGTAAACTATAAAGCAATATAAAAATTTAAATTACATAAATCTTAAGATGGCTATGAATTAGGAAATTTAGAATGATTGAGTAAAGAATAAATCTTACCTTGTGCTTCAAATTTACAAACAATTACTCATTTTTTTATTGAATTTATGTTGAAATTTATAAATTATATTGTATGTCTTATTTTAAAGGTTACCTGGGAACATTAAAGTTCTTACCTTGTGATGACTTATTCTATAAAATTGGCACACAACAATCCCTAGCAAGCTTCAAATTTACAAACAATTACTCATTTTTTTATTGAATTTGTTGAAATTTATAAATTATATCTTTTGATATTATTTTTTGAAATAAAGTTCAAAAAATAAATTTCTCTTAATGAGCTCCCATAATGTTCTTAATTAATTTACCTAAATTAATTTAATTTTAAAAATTTATGATTGGACATTTTTAATCATTTTATAAATGATTGTATTAACTTCAATAATATATTTCAATTTAATGAATAAAATTTATTTAATACTATATTTCGTGTATAAATTATAATACTATATTTAATTGCGTCATTTAATACTATTTATCGATTTAACCCTTCACTAGAAATGTTAAAAATCACTTAAACTTCAAAGGTGGGGTCTATTTTATCCCTAATGCAAAATTAATAAAAATTAGATTTAAATAAAAAATTAAATTTGTAGGCAAAATTCTCCTAAAAATAACTTAAATATTTTACCACAAAAAAAAATTAAATTTGTATACAAAATCTCCTAAAAATAACTTAAATATTTTACTACCGAAAAAATTAAATTTGTAGGCAAAATTCACCTAAAATATGCGGAATTAATAATTCCTATATTTTACCACAAAAAAAATAAATTTGTAGGAAAAATTCTCCAAAAAATAACTTAAATATTTTACCACAAAAAAAATTAAATTTGTATGCAAAATCCTCCTAAAATATAACTTAAATATGCGCAATTAATAATTCCTATATTTTACCATAAAAAATTATAGGCAAAAATAAAAAATTTAAAAAAAACCATAAAAAAAATAAAAATAATATATCCCCCCCCCCCCCCCGACAGTGTTAACACTTTATTAAAACTTATTTGGAGGCAATTTTTTTTATTTAAAAAAATGATATTCATGTTATATACTAAATTTTTTATATAGTCATTTTTGAGTTGATGATTTAAAAAAAAGAGGATTAATTCAGATTTTAAAAAAATCTCCAAATTTATTTTTAGAATGTAAAAATTGTATTAGCAAAACAAATTAATCAAAGTAAAATAATAACTGGGATGATTATATGGTGTTGGTGTTGTAATGAAATTTATATAAAAATGGTATGATTAAAAAAGATATTTTTGTAGTCTATATATCTATTTATAATATGTTAAAATAGGATAAATAAAAAAAAATATGCATAAAAGTAAGACAAATACAATCAACTAAAATACTTTTGGTAAAAAATATAAAATATCAACATATGTAATTAATCTTCAAAATCAATAACATTTACAAAATGGGATTCAGAATTGTTAATATAAATGTTTTGGTCAAATTTTTTTATATTTCCATCATCATATTTAAATGGTGGATACATTTGCCAGCAAAATGAAGCTCCATACCTAGCATACACCAATATCGGGATATTGAGAAGTGTGGCAACACTTCGCAATTCAATATCCGATGCCCATTCACCATTCTTACTTGCCTTTTCTATTATATACTGTTGCACATCATCTTCACACGTATTTTGACCTTGAGTATAATCTAATATATTTTTTATCATTACTTTTAGCAGCATCAGCAAGACCATATGTGATCTAATCAAACCATAGGAGTCTTGTTTTCCTGTTATCTTTATACTTATACATCTAATTAATTTTTAAAAAATTTAATTATTTTACTGTTTCTAAAAACCTATCAATGTTTTAAAAAAATAATATTATGAATTAATATAGGATATAATCATTAAAATTTAAGGTAAAGAAAGAAACAAAACCATATTCTATGTATATTAGTAAAAAAATACAACCAAAATTATTTTTATATTTATAAATTACCGGTAAAAACAATTCCCATCTAGCTCAATTGTTTCCAATCGTGATGGAGCAGTTAGCACCCTTCCTATATTTTGAGAGGCTTTCTTTTTTTGCTGACGCTAAATTTAAGCGAGTAGCATGATATTTCCTCCAAATATTGGTAGTTGGATTATTAAAATGTATAGATTTTAACGAGTGGCATCTATGGCTTTAAATATTAAAAAAAAATTAAATTAATCATGATATTTAAGAATTACAATTAACTGTATATAATTATAAAATTACAATTTTTGAACTTTGAGTCTGAGTATACAAAGTCTACTAAGTCCACTTGAAGATCCTTCAAAAGGTGTAAAGAAGATTTTTTATAATCTAAAAAAGTTTAAAAATTTGTCTTTATCAACAATTTACCTTTGGTATCAACTATTTTTGGGTCAACAAAGTTTTGGGAATTAAGGTCTTGTTGAAATTTTAACTTGATTTTCTTTGGATTTGTATGCCTTTTCTATATAATATACTATTAACAATAAATAAAGTCAATGTACTTTTTTGTGAATCCAATATTGTAAATCCTAATGGTCTCCCGCTTTTATTTAATTTCTTAGGTAATTGAATTTCTTTTATGATATTATTTACACATTCATTTTCTTGACTATTATAAACATCTTTTTTTTAAAAAATTATTATTTTTATTTTACTATATATTAGGATCCACGTTTGAGTATGTAAGATCCTCATTTAATACATTTGCTATACTATCATTGGAGAATATCTGACCATTATTTTCATTTGAGCTTTTATTGAAATTATTTGAGGAAATAATTGGTAATATGCCTTTCATAGCAAAATCATGTAGTTTGTCAAAAGCCTGAGCAAACCCATGTTTCAAATTAGGTGGTAATAATGATATGGTGTGAAAAAGCATATTTTGATTTTTAAAATAATTATAGTATGAAATTTGGTCATTAAAAAGGGTTTTTTTGTATTTAATCACCTTTTTGTTATTTAATATATCTATATTATTATTATTGATAAATGTCGATGGATTTTTAAAATAATTTTTGTGCCACCTTTGATGACATAATTTTTCATCGTAAAGATCACTATTATTTTTTTTCCTTTCCATAAATACATGTCTGCATGTTATAGCTTCAACTACAAATTTATACTGTGCTTTATTAAGCTTTCTTTGTCTGGGTAATGATTAGGGATGTAAATTTCCCGGGAAACTATATTTCGAGGAAATTTCCTGGGAAATTTGGGGAAAAAACGGGAAATAATGGGAAAATAGGGAAATAACGGGGAAAAAACTGGAAACTATCTTTTTTATAATACTTTACAGGTCAATATTGATTTTTTTTTATGTTTTATTGAAAATATATAGATTATAAACATTATAATTAAACAAATATAAATTATTTTCAACTAATTTGCAATTACTTTACATGTTTTATTTGAAATATTATATATAGACTAAATAATATTTAAACAATTAATTTTAAATAGTTAATTATCTTCGTTTGAAGATGAAAATGATTCCAGATCAGAGCTTGAAATTCTGGAATCCAGCAATCCTTTCCCATAAAATGTAGATTGGCTCTTATATAAACTAATTTGCGAACTTAGTCATTTTTTATTCTATTTCTAGATTTAGAATGAATATTTCCAAAGGAGGACTATATTCTTTCGGATGCACTTGTTGGTGGTACTGATAAAATTCGTATGGCTAGGGTCGATATGTATTGATTGCAACATAGACCTAATAAAATATTGAATAACACAATTTTAAGATTAGAAAAAGAGTTAAGTTATTGTTTACAGAAATATAAAAGTATTTTTTCCACCAACTCACTAGATCTGTAAATGATGCGCCTTGCCAAAGACTTGCTATATTAAAAAAATCTTCTCTTGCACGATATTTGGATAGGTTTCCTATTACTCTTGCAATATCTAAATCTAGATATCCAGAAAATCGGTTAATAATATCCAACCCCTTTGCAACTTCATTGTCTCTTTAATTAAATCCGCAAAACCTTGGGTCAAATATATGAGCAGCACAATGAATGTCCCGTCAACAAAATTTTTTCGGCTTTTGATAAACTGCTCTATTTCTAAAATCTCGCTCTGCGACAATATATTTGATATGGTTTTATAAGCGTTAAATGTCTCCCTGATATGAATAAACGCTTGAGGGACATCAGATAAATTGGCTTTATCTCCTTCCACTATCTCTATTTGCGTAAATATGACTTTAATAAAATTATATAGTTGCATTAGATCATTTAAAAACCCATCGTTATCAAGAGGAGTAAGTCTCTTATCTCGATCAGTAAATATATCAAGAATAGCCATTTCCTGTAAAATATCTTTATTTTTTAACAAGCTATTTATCATCAAAACTATACCTGCCCAACGAGTTGGGCTAGGCAACTTTAGGGAAACAATTTTTCTCTATTAACATAACTTAAAATTTCATTGGTATTTATTTATAATATAAATATACTTTTCAGACTAGCTATTTAATTTTAACAAGTATCTTCTAAAATTGTGCATATGTAAATAGGGAAATTGACATAATTCAAAAACAAAACACAATTATAATTTATGATATGAACCACAAGGAAAAAATGATTTTATAAAATCTAATAAAAATCGTATTTATTTTATCATAAGATCATTTTCAAAATTGGGAAACTGTTAATATTATAAAAATCATGTTGATTTAGGCAAAAAAACCTATTATAAAAATTGGGGAAACTATAGGGGAAATTTCCCCTGTCTTACATCCCTAGTAATGATTGGTATAAATTTTCATCTAAAATTAATCAAAAAATGCATTTTTCTTTTGTTTTAAAAACATTATTTCATACTTTTATCTTATATATATTCTATCAAAATTTAATAAATTAACCCTATAAGCCTATCCAGTATCCATATCACTAAGTTAAATTATATATTTATCTTAATAATTTCAAGATTATGTGCCTTTACCATGGGGATGATTGTGATTTTCATGCATATCCTTGACAAATAATTTGTTTTTCATGAATGTAATTTGCAAATGGAATTGACATCCTTGTTTTATAGGCATATAATTGCGTAGACCTGTGGATTTTGTATTGTACTTTCCACCAAATATACAAAGAAACTTTATGCTTTTATATCTAAATTTTTCAAAAAGAGGTGATTTTAAAATTTTTGAATCTGATATATAAAGATTTATGTAATTTAAATTTTCATATTGCTTTATAGCATCTTGTAAATCTTTATAGGATAAAAATATATCTCCTTCTTTCATATTTAAGGTATTACTATGGTAGTACTTTTTGGTGACATTCTAAAATCTGATATATAAAGATTTATGTATTTTAAAAAGGTATTACTATGGTAGTACTTTTTGGTGACATTCCAAAATCTGATATATAAAGATTTATGTATTTTAAATTTTTATATTGCTTTATAGTTTACTAAATATTGGGAAATAAGTAAGGTATTACTATGGTAGTACTTTTTTGTGACATTCTAAAATCTGATATATAAAGATTTATGTATTTTAAATTTTTATATTGCTTTATAGTTTACTAAATTTCGTCCACGATATTATTTATACATCCATTTTATTATAAATACAAATTTTAAATGATTCGTTAAATTGAAATAAAATATTTAAATAATCATGATGAATTTAAAAATACAATCAAAATTCAGATTTTCATGGGCCTTGGTTTTTTGATCAGGTCAAGCCCAAGCCTGCAAAAATATTTGTTTTGGGCCAATGTCTGACCTATAATTAATAATAAAAAAATTCTCAAGCGTCCAAGCTCATAATAATTTTGAAAAATTTTCCACAAGCCCAGCCTAATATAATTTATAAAAATATTTTCCAAGCCCAGCCCAACCCATAATAATTTTATAAAAAAATTTTCTCAAACCTGGCTAACCGATAGTAATTTAAATTTTTCCAAGTCAGGAGATAGGTAAATCTCTAAAAACCATATCTATTTTTTAGTCTATTTTAACCCAGCTCACCCCAACCAAGGCCAATCCATTAAGACTAAGAGTGAATACTATTTTTTTGAATAAAAATATATTTAAATTAGATTTTACCTGAGGGCCATATAAATATTCTGTGTTAAATCAAAAAACCATTTTAAATGCATTGTCACTTTTTATATATTTTATTTCAGTGCTCAACTATCAAAATTATTATGGTCTTTTGCGGGTTTGAGAAAACCAAGTGCGAGTCTTTCTTTCTTTCTGGGAATTTTTTTAATATTAGGCATAGGTGTAATATTTAACACAGAATATTTATATGCCCTCAGGTAAAATCTAATTTAAATATATTTTTATTCAAAAAAATAGTACTCTTAGTCTTAATGGGTTGGCCTTGGTTGGGGTGAGCTGGGTTAAAATAGACTAAAAAATAGATATGGTTTTTAGAGATTTACCTATCTCCAGACTTGGGAAAAAAATTTAAATTACTATCGGGTGGCCAGGTTTGAGAAAATTTTTTTATAAAATTATTATGGATTGAACTGGGCTTGGAAAATATTTTTATAAATTATATTAGGCTGGGCTTGGGGAAAATTTTTCAAAATTATTATGAGCTTGAACGCTTGAGAATTTTTTTATTATTAATTATAGGTCAGACATTGGCCCAAAACAAATATTTTTGCAAGCCTGGGCTTGACCTGATCAAAAAACCAAGGCCCATGAAAATCTGAATTTTGATTGTATTTTTATATTCATTATGATTATTTAAATATTTTATTTCAGTTCTTAACTGCCAAAATTATTATGATCTTTCATTGGGCTTGGAAGAATTTTTTATAATCAATATGGCTTTGGACTTTGCCTGGAAATTTTTTTTAATATTAAATATTATGTATAAGTAATCAGTAATATTTAACAAATAATATTGGTATTATCAAGTATATAAGGATGCACCCCCCCTCCCCCGCTCATGTAGACACAGCATATAGCAAAGCTATTTGTTCATATTGATCTATGATCACTTTCCCATTCCTTAAGGCAATGGAGGGGAGTTTCTTAAAGCTACTAGGTTAAAATATTTTATTTTTTTATATGCGTCATATATCCTGTTAATATGATTTTTTTAATAAATTTTTTTAAATATATTTTTTTGATTGATATTTTTTTTTAATATATTTTTTAAAAATTTATATTTGATATATCTTTTGATAGCTAATTTTTATAATTTTTGTGTTATATGATTTTTTTAATAAATTTTTTTGATTGATATTTTTTAATATATATTTTTAAAATGATTATTATATATTTATATTTTACGTAATTTTATCTATTATATATCTTTTGATAGATATTTTTTTAGGTAATAGTGATAAAATCGTTATTTTTTGAACTTTTTTGAGTTTTTTTAAAGCAAATAGATAAAAATATGTTTTATGTTAAATTAATATTTCAGTGAAAGTGTACTATAGAAAAGTGACAATTGTCATAATCGTTATTTTTAAACTTTTTTGAGTTTTTTTAAAGTAGGGTAAAAATATGTTTTGTAAACATTGTTAAATTAATATATTAGTGAAAGTGTACTAAGGAAAAGTGACAATTGTCATAATCGTTATTTTTGAACTTTTTTAAGTTTTTTAAAGTAAATGGGTAAAAATAGTAAACATGTTATATTAATATTTCAGTGAAAGTGTACTATGGAAAAGTGACGATTGTCATAATCGTTATTTTTAAACTTTTTTGAGTTTTTTTAAAGTAAATGGGTAAAAATATGTTTTGTAAACATGTTAAATTAATGTTTCAGTGAAAGCGTACTATAGAAAAGTGACAATTGTCATAATCCTTATTTTTGAACTTTTTTGAGTTTTTTTAAAGTAAATAGGTAAAAATATGTTTTGTAAACGTTAAATTAATATTTCAGTGAAAGTGTACTATAGGAAAGTGACAATTGTCATAATCGTTATTTTTGAACTTTTTTAAGATTTTTTAAAGTAAATGGGTAAAAATATGTTTTGTAAACAAGTTAAATTAATATTTCAGTGAAAGTGTATTATAGAAAAGTGACAATTGTCATAATCGTTATTTTTGAACTTTTTTGTTTTTTCTTAAAGTAAATAGGTAAAAAAATGTTTTGTAAACATGTTAAATTAATATTTCAGTGAAAGTGTACTGTGGGAAAGTGACAATTGTCATAATCGTTATTTTTGAACTTTTTAAGTTTTTTTAAAGTAAATGGGTAAAAATATGTTTTGTAAACATGTTAAATTAATATTTCAGTGAAAGTGTACTATGGGAAAGTGACAATTGTCATAATCGTTATTTTTGAACTTTTTTGAGATTTTTTAAAGTAAATGGGTAAAAATATGTTTTGTAAATATGTTAAATTAATATTTCAGTGAAAGTGTATTATAGAAAACTGACAATTGTAATGATCGTTATTTTTAAACTTTTTTGAGTTTTTTAAAGTAAATGGGTAAAAATATGTTTTGTAAACATGTTAAGTTAATATTTAAGTGAAAGTGTATTATAGAAAAGTGACAATTGTCATAATCGTTATTTTTAAACTTTTTTGAGTTTTTTTAAAGTAAATGGGTAAAAAAATGTTTTGTAAACATGTTAAATTAATGTTTCAGTGAAAGCGTACTATATAAAAGTGACAATTGTCATAATCCTTATTTTTGAACTTTTTTGAGTTTTTTTAAAGTAAATATGTAAAAATATGTTTTGTAAACGTTAAATTAATATTTCAGTGAAAGTGTACTATGGGAAAGTGACAATTGTCATAATCGTTATTTTTGAACTTTTTTAAGATTTTTTAAAGTAAATGGGTAAAAATATGTTTTGTAAACATGTTAAATTAATATTTCAGTGAAAGTGTATTATAGAAAAGTGACAATTGTCATAATCGTTATTTTTGAACTTTTTAATGTTTTTTTAAAGTAAATAGGTAAAAAAATGTTTTGTAAACATGTTAAATTAATATTTCATTGAAAGTGTACTGTGGGAAAGTGACAATTGTCATAATCGTTATTTTTGAAATTTTTTGAGATTTTTTAAAGTAAATGGGTAAAAATATGTTTTGTAAATATGTTATATTAATATTTCAGTGAAAGTGTATTATAGAAAAGTAACAATTGTCATAATCGTTATTTTTAAACTTTTTTTAGTTTTTTTAAGGTAAATGGGTAAAAATATGTTTTGTAAATATGTTATATTAATATTTCAGTGAAAGTGTATTATAGAAAAGTAACAATTGTCATAATCGTTATTTTTAAACTTTTTTTAGTTTTTTTAAGGTAAATAGGTAAAAATATATTTTGTGAACATGTTAAATTAAAATTTCATAAGATTTATTTATTTTTTACTAAAATGTTAACTACGAAATATATTTAAATATAGACCAGTATCGGTTATTTGTATATCAACTAACTATAATATCTTTGACTTATTTATTTCAATTCTGTGAGTAAATACATTTTAAATATTTATTCACTTTAGTGAACGATCTGAAATTACAAGTTAGAGCTACTATTGAAATTTAAATCTATCAAAGTATTAAATAGCTTTTCGAAAATGAATATAATTACGAAATTAATTTTAGCATTTCCAAAGTTAGCCCTCATATTTATATTTATTTTAAACAATTACTAAGATTATACACCAAACATTCTAACAAAAATATAAAAAAATGAATAAAAATAATGACCTTATAAAATTTGTGAGAAATATTTTAAAAAATGATTATAAACCCGAGGAAAATTTAAAACACAAATTGGCCAAAGACCTTCAAAGAGAGAGCCTAGCATAATTCAATAAAATATAATTAAAAAAATTATCCAAAGGCCTTCATTTCTCGAAAAAAAACTTAAACTAAATATTGGGAAATAAGTAAGGTATTATTACTATGGTACTATTTTTTGGTGACATTCTAAATCTGATATATAAAGATTTATGTATTTTAAATTTTCATATTGCTTTATAGTTTACTAAATTTCGTTCTATTATTTATACATCCATATTTTAATTTAAATAATTCGTTAAATTTTCGTAACTTTTTTATCGATTCGGAGAATGCGTATAATAAGAAAAAATATAACTTTTATTTCTTGCTAATACGACATTTGGCGTAAGTCTATCATCTCCCTTTTTATCACTTGTAATCCTTTAGACGTAAATTTATTTTATATCAGCAATCGAGAATATTTTATACTGTAATAAATAGATATTGTATTAAAAATATTATTTTTAGAAATGTCTTATATTGTTTAATTATTTATATGCGAGTTTATTTTGTATTCATAATAAATGACAAAATATGAAATTCATAATAATTGTTCAGAGTTAGCAAATTTAAAAAAGGATAATATATTAATATAAAACCCGGCCGAAGGCTGGCAAAACAGGCCGAAGACCCGCAAATTAGATGTATGAGGAGCCCCCTGAAATTGTAAAGGCTAGCGACGCCCCTGTGATTGTCATTAAATCTTAATGGTTAGTGAGTCATAGCTTCATTAATCCGTAGAATCATTGATCAGTCATAATCATTATTATCTTAAGCTTGTTATTATTAATTCGGCATCACTGTAGGTGATTGGACAGAATTTTTCTAGTTGATTGGACAGAATATTATAAAAGATAAGTCAGCCAAATGTTGTTTTTTAAATTATATCAAAAATTTATTCATTATTCGTTCCTTCAATATTCAAGATACACTTCTTCCCTATCAATTATAATTCGAAATTTTAGATATTAACAAAATTTCTGATCCAAATATTCACATGAAAATATTTATTATATGATTTCCTTTCCTCTTTTTTTCTTGGGTCCAATATAATATCAAATGCAATTTATATTTCTCTTTATATGACCTCAAAAACATTCGAATATTACCTAATGGCTCCCTCAATTATTATCCTTTACATATATAAATCCACATTTATATATTAAAAATCAAAAAATATTTTTATTAATTACCTATACATATATGCATACAATATTGCGCATGTATATATATAAACTTTTAATATTATCCTTCTATTTAAAAACCTAAATTATTTATGACCAATTCTTGATTATCCATCCAACTTTAGCAAATGTTTAATATCTCACTTTCATATATGGGATTTGCATATTTTTTACTTCATCAGATAATGTTTCTTTTATATTTCATTTATCACTTTTTATTTATATACAACATTATTCAAACATTTCACATCCATCTTTTCTTTTTATTTTTTTTACACATTAGCAAAATGTTTCATATCCATAATTTTCATTTCATTTTTTTTTGAATTTACAAAATATTTATACCCATAATTTTCATATTAATGATACCAAGCTTAAGATAAAATTATCATGACTGACCAATGATGCAATATATCAATCAAGATAAACTCAATGACCATTAAGATTTAATGACAATCAACAGTAATATCAATCCAGCTATGACCTATACACCGTCAAATTAAATGATAATCAACAGCACAATGACAACTATTACGTATGGTTAAGAAAAAATATGGGTAGCAACAGCTCAATGACAATTATATATGGTCAAGAAAAAGTATGGATCCTGGAACTTCCTGGAACAGAAAAAATAAAATTTAATGAAAATAAATAATAATAATAAATTTTATATTTTTTTGATCATTTATTAGAATTTTGTAGACTTACTTTGATTATATATATATATATATATATATGATTAAATTCTATTTCTTTACCCTAGTTTGATTTCTCAATAATGAGGGGGGGGGGAGGTTGCGTGTTGTATCTGTCGATTTTGACAGATATGGTCGTTTTCCGAAAAACAGTCTTGAGTTAAATTTTTAATATAAGTATATTTTTGATAATATTACAAACTGTTGTAATTGTTAAACCAAATTACGAAGCCGAAAGATATTCAAATCTACTCAAGAAAAAAGAATTAAATTTCGAATGCAAATGATTTAAAGAAAGATGAATAAAAAAGAATGATTATTCAAATTAAAGAAAGTTCAAGATTTTTTTCAGTTTGTTTGTAAAACATTATGTAAATGAATATTATAGAAAAGTATATATATATTCGAATATTTGTATAGTGAGAGATCATGATTTTACGAACTTAATTATAATTTTTAATTTTAATTTTTTATTATTTTAATTTTTTTTTTAATTAATTTAGTTTGATTATATTTTTAACTTATTATTTAATAAAGAGTTAGTATCATTTTAGTTCTACCTTTCTATATTTGACAACGGTTCTAATCTCTCAATCCTTTCAAAAGTCACAAAAATTTACACAAACTACTGTTATTTTAAGATATAATATACCAAGGTGGTGCGACAATATATAAAATCTTAATTGTTTCATCATATCATTCTGGTCCTTATTTTATAGTTAGAAAATGTTTCATTTCTAATATGGCATTGCCGTGTAAATAACTCCAGACTTCAATATATTTGCATAATTATTTCTTCCAAAGATTTTTAGTGTTTTTATTTTATCAATTCATCCAACATAATAAATTCTGATATTAGTTTACATCGTGAGTGTCATGGCTATTACTGCAAATTAACCAGCATCTATTATTTGTGTTGCTATGTAATTTAAGATTATTACTATAACGGCAATTCCATATTTTAGATAAACAATAATGGCCAACTGTGTAGTCGTTTATATATCATTTAAAATGGAAGATAATCTTTTAGAAATTTAATATCTCACAAAAATTTTCTCGATTACTTATCTAGCTTCCATAATGTCATCTAAGAGGAAGCTCTAAATACAGTTTTATGATTTGGATTGGTCGTTTATACTCTCTCCTTCAAAAATTGTTGATTTGCTTTAGGCCTATAATTTTTTCCTATTCTATAAAACATTGTCTAAAATGGTTACGGAGAATTTTACTAGTCTGATAACCTTTTGTCAATGTAAGTTGCTAAGAATTATATTATTGCATTATGTGATTTTTTATATGCCTGTTTATTTTGTATGCATAATATAATAAATGACAAAATATGAAAATCAGAATAATTGTTCAGAGTTAACAAATTTTAAAAAAGTTTAATATATTAATATAAAACCCCGGGTAAAAGCTTGCCGAAGGCCCGCATATTGGAGGGAGGGTATGGGGGGCGAAGCTTCCCATTAATTTTTTTTTGGTTGAGCTCCCTAATATTGTGAAGGCTAGCGACGCCCTTGGTGAAAATATAATTAATATGTATTAATCTAATCTAATAATTAAAATAGTATTCATTTAATAAAAATTTAAATAGTCATATTAATTTTTAAATAATAAAATTAAATCTATTCAATAAAATTATATAAGAAATCGTTTAGGGGTCGATTAAAAAATTTATTTTTAGTTCAAGAGGATATTAAGGAGTCATTAAAGTTTCAGGGGGCTATTCAAGAGACCCCTCCCCTAGTGACACCACTGTGATTTTAAAAAAAAGCACTTGATAATAAAAAGCTAGTAATTTGCACATATTTTTTTAAATAAATATCGTTGTAATGTACAAAAAATTAATTAGATATTTCTTGCACTTTAATAGCAGCCCTTGCCACTAGATACAATTAACATTTAGATAATAGGATGATCATATCGTTGAAGAATAAATAAAATCAGATTATACATAATATAATTTAAATTCTATTATCGCTTCAACAAATAAAGTATATTCCGAATTAAATCACCAATATTTTCTAAACAAGAGATACACGGTAATTACTAATGATTATGAAAAATATTATAGCAAATATTACAAAATTATCAGTCATTGTTTAGTTTATTTAAATTACCATTTGTTCATGCAATAATAAACCCGCGAATCATATGGGAATTTTGGGATTATCTAAAATTATTGGTGATTATGCTCCACAGGCAGTAAAAGAAAATCAGATTAAGAATTATTTCGGTATAATTTTATTTTTTTACTCTTAAATTATATTGCTTATAGGAAGAAAAATAGCGATAGATGCCTCCATGAGTATTTATCAATTTTTAATAGCAGTGAGGCAAGAAGGAAATGTCCTTACTAATGAAAGTGGAGAGACAACAAGGTTATATAAATAAACTATATTATTTTATTTTTGGAATAGTCATTTAATGGGTATATTTTATCGCACTATTCGCATGATTGAAAATGGTATTAAACCCCTGTATGTGTTTGATGGGAAACCCCCAGATATGAAACACGATGAATTAGATAAAAGGAAAGAAAGAAGGGAGGAAGCTGAAAAACAAGCCGAGAAGGCAAAAGAAGATGGTTATTTTATGATAATAATTTATTTTTTAACATTTTTATTTTAGGTGATAAAAATTTAATGGATAAATTTAATAGAAGATTAGTCAAGGTAACCAAACAACATAATGAAGAATGTAAAACCTTATTAGCTTATATGGGTGTCCCATATTTAGATGTAATTAAAATGATATAAATTAATATATCAACAAATTATTCACAGCTAATTATATAAAAAAAGTTATAATAAAATGACCTAAAATATACTAACCTGTACTAATATTGTTGTTCTAACAAGTTTATAGATATTTTTTATTTTAGATTTTCTTATTTGTATTAAATCAAGAATTAATTTTTGAGCATTGCCATTTTAAGGTAAAATGAATACATTTTTTTCAAACTGTAATTTTATATATCATTATTGCATCTGTGAGGTCTCTTTTTCTAGTTTTGGCTATATAATAAATTCTCACATTATATAGCAAAGAGACAAGGTTTAAAAAAAAGATTTATCAAACCCAAATTATTTTAAAAAGTCTATTTTTTGCTTTGCCCAGATTTTATATTTCTATGCCTGGCTCATATAATTTATTTTTAAAGAAATTGACTTAATCCTGGTGTTTAAAAATTTTTTTTATTAGAGGTTTAAAATAATTTGCTTGATAAAAATATACCAACTCAGCATTTAATGGTTCATTTTTGATCTAATATGAAATAATTTAATATCTAATAACTTTTAAAATTATCTTCTTTATTCTAAAAGATTATTTTTTCATACTACAAAGAAAAAAAAATTTGAGTTCATGTTTGGCAAAATGTATTATTTTATTTTGTAATATACTAATGTCATTTATTTTTAAATTAAAAATATATATAGAAATAAAATTAATATTAAAATTAACATATCAAATATAAAATAAAATAAAACAATATTATATAAAAACAGAGGTGGAACTACAAGTTCCCAAAAAACATGAGTAATTATATTTTAAAATAGTGATTTGTAGGTTTTGTTTTAAAAAATAGAATTCTTTTGGTTCTGATGTAAGGGCTCTTGTCATATCGCCTATATTTTTTAAGAACTTTAAAGTTCCGCTTGGCATATGTCCAAGGGAAGAGATAACGATCGATGTAAAAATATAATTTGTGAATTTGGAATATTTCATTGTTTTTTTTTCTCGGCTATATCAACCGGATTAGAATTTAAATTTTTTGGGAAAGAAGATAGACATGTGAAGTCCCAAATTAAGGATTTCCCTAAAGACCAAGGCACGGAAGTTAAGCCATCTGGTCTTAAGCCATCATCTAATGATAAATTTGTAGGCTACAGGATGTTTGGTATTCGGGCCCTGGTTTGAGAACAGCTAATAGTTAAATTAGCCTGCCTTGACTATATATACAATATAGACCATGTCTCCCTTTAGAGTCAACTAATATTTTACATTTGATGCATGTATGTGGTTGAACAATGTTACATCCAAGTCGATGGCCTATGGCAACTCTTAATTGTTCATCTGATAAGAGGTTACCTAGGTTACGACTTGGTAATGCTTCCAACCATTCATAACCACTAGTACAGTCAGCATTCTGTAATAGTTGAATATACTCCAAAGGGGAGTTTGATGAGATTATTTTTAAATAATTTTTTATTAAAGGTTCGAAAATAGATTGGTGTGTTAAGATTGTGGCAAGACAGCTTCAGTTGGAGCCAAAGATACCCAGGCTGTCAAGGCTAAGTTTAAAAGGTTATCTTTAGGAGAGATAAAAGAAGATATCATAATGTCATTCATCAAACGTAATGCCAAAAATGAGGAAAGAGATATAAGATTTAAAGGATATAAATCTAAACCACCCATTTTCGATGGTAATTGTGAGAAACCCCAATTAAAATCTTCCAATTTAATATTTAAAATATTTTCTAATAAACTTCTAAAAAATTCATGAACACGATTAATAATTTCATTATTTAAAAAAAAGGAAGAAGATCTAAAAATATGGAAAATCTTTGGTAAAAATAAATATTTTTTTAAAAGAAAAAAGCTCTGGTGTGAAAGAATTTTTTTTAAAATAGTTTAAAGTCCTAATAAGCCTTCGAAAAATTTTTCCACTAACACCTCACAGTTGGAAAAACTGCTTAAAGGTGAACCTAGAAGATTAATTTCACTTTTTTAAATGATTATAAACCCTTGGACTTTGAGAGTATTTGAATTTAAAAAGCATATTTCAGATTTAGCTTTATTTAGAGTAAGGCCTATGTTTAGAGAATTCTTCTCTATATATTCTATCACTGCATGAATATTTTTAGAAGGTCCACAAATGGTATTATCATCTAAATACCATATGTTTAAATCTAAATTAAAAGGATTTTACACAATGAACAAGTTATGTATACCTAAACTAAAGATCAGAGTGTCCAAAGGGTCTCCTTGTTAAATACCTTTGTCAGATGAAATTGTATATTCCCCGAATTTGAGAGGGGTTCTACAGCCATAAGACTGTTCAATAAATCTTGCACAAACTGGGAATTTTTCATAAAAAATGTTCAAAAATGCTTTTCTGGATAAAGAATTAAAAGCATTTTTAAAATCAAGCTTACAGACTACGGCGTCTGGAGGAGGATCTTCGAATATATGCGAAGAGAGTGAGCGGCTATTTCGCATCCCCCTTTAGTACCAAAGCCTAGTTGATATGTTTGGAACATTTTTGAAGCATCAGGTTTGATGCGCTCAACGATTATCTTAGCTAATAGTCTCCTAAAAAAAGACCCTATTGCAATTGGCCGAACTCCACCATCAGGCTTAGAAAAAGCAATTAATCTTGTGCCAAAAAGAATTTGGTGAACTTGACTAGGTAAATCATTGTCAATTTATTTTCACTAAGTATTACTAATGAATTTACAAATGAATCTTGATAAGGATTTTTAGGGTTAATTTAAAATTGGAAATAAGAGGGGCAAAAACCGTCAATTCCCCCTGCAGAGTTTTGATTAAAAGATAAAACTGTTTTAATAAGTTCTTCCTTACCTATTTTGATTAAATTAGATTTTATAGGGATGGGAAGATCTTCAGGAAAAGCCTGAGGGTGCAATTCTTTTAATAAATTAAAAGTATGTTCATCAAATGGAGCCAATTTATCATTAGATGAAGCTAATTTAAGAGCTCCACATACGTCCCCTTGGTCTATTTTTTTGATATAATTTTGCATTTATGGGCAAAATCAGAATATTATAATTTTGATTTGCTGAAAATTAAAATTTATTATAATTTTTAGATTTCTAAATTAATAATTATTTTATTTACCTATACAGTAAGGTATGTAAGGAAAAATTAGAAGGCTTATTTATGGTTTATTTAATGTTATTAATATTTTATAATAAAGTATAAAAATTTTATAATCTTATATAAAAAAATTTTTGTAATATTCATTGGATTTGTTATATTGTAACTATGTTAAGCTTTAGTGTAGGCCTGCAAGACTCCAAAAAAAATTAAATTAGGAAATCAATTCTAAAATTGCTTATTTTATTATTTTAATAAATAAAAAATCATTTTGTTGTGGAAGCAAATAAAAAAATTCTTTATTTTAATTTTATATTTTGTCAAATTAAAAAGAAATTATTCAAATATAAGTAATAATGAATGAGAAACTAGAAAAATTATTTGCTTTGAGTATATCATAAATCGAAAATTTGTAAGGAGCAGTAGTAGTACAGGCTTATTTATATAAAAAAACAATTATATAATTAAGGCACCTTCCGAAGCAGAGGCACAATGTGCTATATTAGCTAAAGCAGGAAAGGTGTATGGGACTGCTACAGAGGATATGGATTGTTTAACATTTGGTAGTCCTATATTATTAAGGCACATGACATTCAGCGAAGCTCGGTAATTTATAATACTAATTTAAATATTTATTTATTCATACATATTTATTGGCGCCCTGCATGGAATCAAATTTTTTTGGCCTGATCCGATAATTATTTGTTGTTAATCCAAATTTGTGTAATTTTTTTAATGGTCCAGGAATTATATTCTAGGAATAAGTCTCATTTCATCCAAATTCTAATTATTATTAGACTGTTGAAAAAGTACGATATTTCAACAAATGTTAAGGAAAATAGATTTTGGTTATATTCCTGAAAATAATATTTTATAAAAGTATTAGGAAAACAAAATATTTAAAGTCCAAGTCCACCCTGGTCTAAATTAAAATTATTACATCAAGATTTTCCCAATCTGATGATAAGTCTTGGATTGGTCTGTGCAAGGTTCTTGATTGCTTAACATTAATAACTTTATTCAGAAAATTATATATTTTAAAAATTTTTTGTAAATATAAGCATCATTTTATTTTATTCACTTTTAGAAAAATGCCCATCAAAGAATTTAATTTAGCTGAAATTTTGACTCAAATGCAAATGTCCCAAGAACAAGTTTATCAATATTATAAATATAATTTTTTTATAACTTTAAGCTAAATTTATAATAAACAATTTAAAAACTCAAACTGGGAGTAATTATAAAATCTTAAATCTTGTTGCATTTTATTTATGGCTTTAAAAACATTACAAAAACTTAGTTTGTCGATTTTTGCATTTTGATGGGCTGTGACTATTGTGAAAGTATCAAAGGTATTGGACCTAAAAGATCAATCGAGCTAATCAAAGAACATAAAAACATAGAAACGATTATAACCAAGCTAGACACCAAGAAGTACCCCATACCCGATAATTGGAAATTTAAAGTTTTTTAATCTAAAGAAATCTCGTTTGAAAATGATGTTTTTATTTAATATAAAATCCTAAGTTATTTTTTCTTCAGATTACAGTGAATTAGGTAGCATACTAACTAATAGTAATGATAAGAAAACATAATAAATCATATTTTTGAATTTGTAAAATTTTCTGTCATAATAATATTATTGGTCAATTTTGTTCTCATATTTTATCACTTTATATTAGATTATTTAAAAAAAAATTACTTTTTGTATTGTTGAAAGTTATTATAGCTTGACTTTGATTATAAAATTATTTGGCATTTAATTTTAAGGATATGGTTTTTTTTAAAAAAATTTTAATTTCACATATTGACGTTTTTCGATTAGATAATTAAAACTAACCCTTTTTTAAAATTAGATATTGGACCAAGATATTAACACTAAATTTTAAAAATTCCTCGAAGAAATCAAAATTTTAAGCCGACAGAGTTTAAAACCAGTAAAAAAAGAGGTCAGTTCTATATTTTTAAGATTCTGTTGATTTCAGTTCCCGGAAATTTTTGAAAGAAAGTTCCGGTTTTATTTTAACCGTTTCGAGTATTCTGGTTCCAAATTTTGCTAATATAAAGATTAGATTCGGATTCCTATACATTTTAAAAGAGGTTTCTGTTATAATTTTTTAGAGAAACTTCCGGTTCTTGGATCTAAATCCTTATCGAAGGTTCTTTATCGACTGTTATATGTATCGATAATTTATAGGGTTATAATAATTAGTTGAAGTTGGGAAATTTGGCAACTTAAAAATAAAATAAAATTTTAGTTTATGATATATATTTTTTAGTAATAAAAACATACTTTTCATAAAAATAATATAGGAAGCAAGAGAACTGTTCCTGAATCCTGAAACGATTAACGTGACAAATATGGATGTAAATCTAATAAATTTTATAAATATTTTAATGTTCACCTATGTCAAAGTCTTAATAAAAATTATCGAAATCTTTTGTATCTCATGGTTGATAAAAAGATAATCATCTTCGATTAACCACTTTATAATGGTTTTAAGGATCAGAATTTTTTTGAATGAATTAAAAGATAAAAGCTATGATAGTACTACTGATTATGACAACCCATTCAAGTATTCTTAGTTTAAACGATAAATCTTATTTACAAAATGGTTATAATCAATTTTTTGCCTGAATACATACCTTTTATATTTTGATATAATATAATATCATCGAGTATAATATTATTTCTCCAGTTTAAATGGAAGGAACCTGAGGAGGAAAGTCTGATTAAGTACATGTGTGAAGAAAAAGGATTCAATGAGGAAAGAATTAAAAACGGAATTAAAAAGATGAAAAACGCTAGAAATTCGATTACCCAGGGTAGACTAGACGGGTTTTTCACGATTCTGGGCCGAGCCCCTACAACAACCTTAGAACAACAAAGAAAAGTTGCCAAAGTATGCAATGTATATATAGTTTATTAGGAAAAATATGACATAAAATACTGATTGAGCAATGCATGAAGGTAATGGGTTTCGATTAACTATAAATGGTTTAATTTCTGTGTCGAATCAGGTAGGATTAGATAACCTAACTTTGGACAACTCTTAACTGCTAAGTCAAGCTTTTCGCCTAAAAGTTTAAGTCAACCTTAATAGAGCTTGGCTAAGCGGTATTAGAAGTGACCAAAGTCAGACGATGTTGTTAAAATGCCCAGTTTTTACTGCTCCAACCTTGAGGTCGGAGCCAAAAAATTGGCTCAAGCCGGCTCGGTCATTTTTATATGCTAAATTTTCATGAAATTTTAATTTAACATGTTTACAATATATATTTTTACCCATTTGTGTTAAAAAACTCTAAAAATAACGATTATGACAATTGTCACTTATTTAGGGTACATCTACACTGAAGTTTTATTTAAATATTTTAGCAATACTTATTTTAGCCCATATACATCAAAAAAAATTTAAAACGATTATGACAATTGTCACTTTTATACGTTACATCTTAATTGAAATTTTAATTTAGCATGTTAAAAATACATATTTTTGTCCATTAGTGTCAAAAAAAATCTAATATTTTTAAAAATATTGATTATGATAATTGCCAGTTTTCCAAGGAACATCTTCATTGAATTTATAATTTAACATCTTTACAATATAAATATTATTTTACCCTTTATGTCAAAAAGTTTCAAAAATGTTCATAAATAACGAATATGACAATTGTCACATTAAAATGTCTAATTCTATTTAAAATAATTGGTTTCGAGTCAGGCCTAATATTTTTAAAAAATATTCGGGTCGAGCCGGACCTTAGAATTTTTTTAAAATATATCTAAATTTATCAATTTTATATTGAATTTTTTATGTAAAATAAAAATATTTGATTTTATTTATCGAAATTAAACGACATATAACATGTCTTTTATTTTGAGTAATTAAAAAAATTGGTCGGTAAATTTTTTTAAAAAAAATTTGGGTTCGGGTTGGGCCGGCAGAACTTTTTAAAAAAAATTCGAATTCGGGCCAGGCTGGCAAAACTTTTTTAAAAAAATTTCGGGCTGTGCCGGGCTTGAAAAATTAGGCCCGATGCAGATCACTAATTGAGTTAATGAAAGATTATATATCAAAATATCTTTAGCTTAAAAGAGAAAAATGATTTATATTTTAATTTATATACCTTTAAAATAAAATAACATGTACTAATAAAATTTACAAACAAAATAATTTTATAAATTCTAAATTTGTGTTTTTTTCCATTTATAGCATGGGTATATAATATACGCATAAATTATATAAATAATAATTTATAAAATTACTTTAAACAAATTCAATATAATAATATATAAAAAATGAATCAATCCTTTTTTTTATGTTTTTTTAAAAATTATTATATCATTTTTTTTAAAGATATTTTAAAATAGTTGGTTCCGATTATTTAATATCCACAGTCTTTTTTTTAAAATGAATATTTTTAAAGTAGGTGATATACTCAAAATGATTAAGCAACTTGTGAATGAGTTTTGCCTAAATAACAATTATCGTCAGGAATACAATATACTTTTTGCAATTTCATAATGCAGGTAGAAAAAAAACAAGAGTCTGCCATACCAATGCAATATGTGTCGTAGATCTTTTTTAATTATGGGATCTTCCTTTTGGCTTGAGTCTCAGTCAATTTTTGACTCAAAAACAAGCTGAATTTAGGACTAAACCGGCTTGGCTCAGCCGTTTAACAACACTAATCTCAAATAAATAAATTTTGGCTTATTGAAGCAACTCCCTAGCCAGCTTAAGCCGACTCAAACCAGCCAACTAAAATAGCTCAATGAGGAGGCTTGAACCTTAGTCAATTTTCGACTCAAAAAATGGCTGAGTTTAGGGCTAAGCTGGTGCAACGTACTATTTTTACTCTGTATAAAAATTACTCATTTATTTAGTGATATTGACATTTATGATTGACGTACATAAATTTAAAAATATATTTTTAGTGATATTGACATTTTTGACTGACATGTTTTACTATTTATATAAATTACTCACTTATTTAATGATATTGACATTTTTGACTGGCATATTTTACTCCTAAAAATTACTCACTTATTTAATGATATTGACATTTTTGACTGACATATTTTACTCCTTAAAAAAATTACTCACTTATTTAATGATTTTGACATTTTATACTGATATGTTTTACTCCTTATAAAAATTACTCACTTAGTTAAGGAAATTGACATTTTTGATTACGTGTAATGATTAAATATAATAAATATAGTGATATTGACACTATTATAAAAATTATTTACTTATTTGATATTTAAGACAATTTTTTATTCTCTTTGCAAAATTTATTTATAACTTGAAATAGGTGAAAACTTATTATTTAAATATGAGATATAAAAGCTTTAAAAAAATATCCTGATATAAATAAGATACGCGATATAAATAAGATTGCGATATAAATAAGATACACGATATAATTAAAATATATGATGTAAATAACATAAGCTATATAAATAAGATATGTTGTAAATAAGATACGCGATATGAATATATATATGATGTGAATAAGATACGCAATGTATATGATTTTCTTCCAAAATTAAGCTTTACATTTTTAATTTCTGGTTCTTGAAAATTTTCTTCATCATCTAAAAAAAGGAATATTATTTAATAATTAAATCAACTGTATGCCTTCTATGGTAGAAGAATGAAACTTTTCACTTGGTAACCTGAGAACTGTTTAAAAGTTATTTAATAAATTTTTAAAAGTTTTAATCTTTTTTTCTGTCCTGCTTTAATTGTGTCATCTTGATAAATATATAAATTAATTTATTTTTAAACTATACCTTTTCTTGTAACATAATGTTTTATGCTACAAAAATTTGCTCAGGTTTTTATCTGTTTCCCACAGGCACTCATTAGCTCTACATTGCCTAAATATTATAAATATTTTGTTGTTAAAAATCATAATTTATACTTTTGTCAATCCCAACTATTGTAAAAGGACCCAGCCAAGTGGTGTCATGTTTCCACCCTTCCTATCTGACGGCTGTTCCAGATAAGCACCTTATCATTTATCTTATAGGAAGTATTTTTCCCAGTATTGCGGGTTCTATAATCCCTCTGCTGGAGCTGGGCAAGATTAATATTGCCTATGGCAATATTATGTATGTCTTGCATCTTGCAAACAATACTTTGAAAATGGTTTTCCCTATCTTTCTCCTCAACATTGTCAGGATCTATATCATAATCATCATCATCCTTAAATATAATTAAGTATATAATATATAGTATATGATAATTAATTGGTTCATAAGCTTGTATTGCTTTTCTACCATACATAAGCTCAAAGGGCGTGTCGATGATTCATGATAGATGTGTTATAGGCAAATAATATGCCCAGCAAGGCATCTGTCCAATTGATCATCTTTAATACACTTTAGAAGTGCATTTTGGATTGCTCTATTAACCATTTCAACCATGCCATTTGCTTGAGAGTGATAAGCACTTGTCACCCTCTGCATGGTCCCCACGAGTTTGTGATAATTAGTGCTAACTTCATTCACAAACTCCTGTACTTGATCATCAATTTGAATCTTAAAACTAAAATTAATATTTTATTATCAAATAAATCATACTTTCGCATAGTAATTAATAAAGGAATTTCAATACTGATTTAACTGTTTTATCCTTTAAAGGCATGGCTACAAAATATATGCTGAAGTAATCAACAGCTACTGCAATATATTTATAGCCATCCTCACTTTCTGGCAAAGTACACAAATCAACTCCTATTTGTGACCATAACTGTTATAAATTTTTTTTATTGTTATACTATATATATTATATTAAAAAGAGTTAATCTCGTTAATTAATTTTAGTGTGGTTAAAAGGTTAGAGATGGGGATTAAGGTCAAGTAAAAAAACGAATATAAATTATAACCTGAAATTGTAGAGGCTTTACTATATAAACTAAAATTGATATATCATAAATTTCATGTAAAAAGATTCAATGGATAATTTAATAAATTTGCTTACCTACCACTTTATATGGTTCTTCTAATAAGGATAGAAGATATAATGAACTAACTTAAAATTTAAATGGTTCTATATGTGAAAATAACATAACTTATAAAAACAAGTGTCACATATATATATATATATAATAGTGTCATATCATTAATAAGACTATAAATAAAAAATATATTTAAAATTATATACAGTTAAAATGACTAAAACTATAAAAATTTTAAAAAATCAATGATTTTTATATAATAAATTATACTATCTTTGCTGTAACAGGAATTGATTGTAAATCATTGGTAGTTTTATCAAATCTTGTATTACACCTTTGACAAGTGTCACAAGAATTACTAGATTTGACTACATCATCTATCATATTTGGCCACCAGAAGCTATAATATAATATTAATTATGACAATGAAGACATTTTATTTAACAGCCAATTTTTTATGGGTCTTGTTAATACCAAAATGGCTAGCAAGTGAAATTGTTTCAATATTATTATCACAACCGCTGTGAACTGCTTTAATAAGTTCTTTTCTTCTAGAAGTGCTCATAATAACTTCCCCATTGTGTGTATGGTGATATTATTTATCATTTCGCATAGTAAATTTGGGGATTTTTTGTATAATATGAAGTTTTTAATTTCATCATATTCTAAAAAAGTTATATAAAATTCAAATATTTAATTTACTATCTTCATTATCAATTGTCATTTCAAATAAATGTTGATTCTAATTTGAATATTTTAATTTTATAGAAAATTTATGTATTTTGATTGACAAGTTAGAAAAAATATGAAATTAAATAATAAAACATTTTTTAAAATATATCATTATTAAAAATACACTGGTAAAAACTTACTCAGGTATGTAATTACATTATAATAGAAGAATAAGTATTAAATTTACTCATTAAAATAGGCCAAAAAGAGTGATTTTAATACATGAGTGATTCTAGCACGTTACAGAGCCTGAGCCAAATTTTTGGCTCAAAAATTTTCTGAGTTTTCGGCTAAGCCGGCTTGGCTCAGCCGTTTAACAACACTATCAGGAATACATCTGAGAGGAACCTATTTTGCCATCTATAGAAGTGGTATAATTTTTAAAATTATAGTTAATTGGTTTTATATGTTCATAATACATTCAATCAATATGAATCCAATTTTTTACTGGTGTCAGACTCAACCCTTTTATCTCTACCATTATTAAAAATGGGAAAACGATTATACCAAATTAGTTATTATATTATAGTAGGGGAAATTTTTAAAAAAATATCCATTTCATACTTTATTTTTTTTTAATTTAAAAAAATAGAGTTATCTTTTTTTTATAATCTTGCCTCTTTCTAACCCAAATTTTTGAATGATATAATAATTCTATTAGGGCAACGCCGATCCACAAATTTTTTCCAATCCGATTTACATACAAAACCTATCTGATATTTAAATTAATTTTTGCAAATAATTTTGTCTCATATAAGATATTTACTCTTTCATTGGGATAATTCAATTTTTTTAAATTATAAATAAGTCCAATTTTTGTTTCTTTTTTTTATCCATCTATTATTTTAGGAATATGTATAAAATATTTTTAAAAAAAGGAGCATATAATCCAAAAAAATGTTAAGATTAAATCATCTTTTTTTATAATCGGTGAATATCGTCGCCGATTCAATATTTAATATTGGCAACAGCCCTAAATTCATAACTTTTATTTTTATTACATTTCATTAACATAAAAGACAGAAGAAATTAAGAAAAAATTACCGAGCAAAAGTGGTAAAAAGACAAAAAAGATTAGCAACGCGAAAAATGCAAATAAGAAAATCAAAAAATAATTTATATGATTATTTAATTTGTATGATTATTATTTAATTTGTATGATTATTTTTATTTAATTTGTATGATTATTTTTATTTAATTTGTATGATTATTTTTATTTAATTTGTATGATTATTTTTATTTAATTTGTATAAAATCTATATTATATAATCTTGTGAGTATCAAATTATTTAATTCATAAGATTTTGTAGAATGCAAAATAATTTACAGCAATTTACTCTTCTAAAATCTTCTCAATGGGATTTTAGGAAGGAAAGATACCTTTAGTTTTCATTCAATTTTTAAAAGTATAAAATAATAGATTTTATTAATTTATCATAAGTATTACAACTTTGTTCATAAATATCATTTTGAGCTGTTCCCTTTATGGTTACACACTACCCTTCTCTCCACAAAAACTTAAAGAAAAAAGATATAATATTTTTTTGAAACAATGACATTCAAAATTTCAGGAAAACATGGCATATAAATTATTTTTTGCCTGAATTAGACCTTAAGATCTATAATGGCGAAAACCCCCATTTAATACCGTTCTTTTTTTTATGAACTATGCCTGTGCATAGATCATAGGGCGTAGACAGGATTTTCTTAAGGGGGGATTATTAAATTTCTGGAAGCTTTACACCCAGACCCCATTTTGGGCGGGCCTTTGGCCCGATTTTTCCTGGCTTTCCATAGGTTTACTTAGTATATTTATAGTTATAAAATATTTTTGCAAGATAGGAGATTAATTTTAATAAAAAATATTTTCTTTATTTAAAATATGCAAAATTGGTTAAGAGAATATCAAAAAGGGAAGTCTGGAACAAAATTACATATATACATTAATACAAAAATTACCTTTTAGAATTTGATAATTAATTGTTTCAGAATTAACTTGTGTTAATTCCTGATGAATATGTATGAGCGCTAAGCCATTTAATCTATTTTGCGAGGTAGTATAGTATTTTGCAAATATGCTTTTGACCTTGTAAATTTGAGAAAGTTCTTTCATTAGTACATGTCGTAATAGAGTGGCATGCTAAAATTTGAAATAATTTTGTAATGTTTGGAAAGTTTAGTAATGTGTTTAAAAACATTGAGTGCGCTTAGAGCATTCTCACTCAGGCTTAAAGTCCATTCTTTTTAAGTTTGCATACCATATTTAAATTCAAACAACTTCCAATTATGTCCCTACCATATGCAATTAAAACCTATATAAATAGTGAATTTTATCTCTAATCTCATCCTGCTCACTGATGGATTAGAGGATAAAAAAATTTGAAAGTTATTGAGGAACAGTTTATGATTCAATAAGCATTCTCTAATTTGAGTTAAACATAAGTTGTATAAAAATCGTACTTCTGTAATTCAACTGATTATGTGGAAATATTATTCCTATGTACTTGCCTTGATAAATTTTTTGGCATGTTTATTATCATATTATATGAATGCACCTTTTAACCATGTTAAAAATCTTGCTAAATTCAATCAGCATTCTTTCTTATTTGTAAAATAGAATGGTAAAGTTCCTAAATTAATTATGTACATATTTTTAAAATATAATTAACCAGATTGCAAATTTTATACTTAAATTAATTATTAAAATAAAATTTACTGCAGATCTTTCATCAACATTAACTTAAAAAATTATAAATATAATGTTAAAATACACTACCTATTGGGACTATCTGAATGATAGGATCATTTTTCTCAATCACAAATGTTTTATCATCAAGAGGCAAAGTTACTTAAACGGTTCCACGTCAATTCAGCGCAGGTTTGGCGCGGCAATAATTCAGCGCAGCGTCAATTCGACGTGACGACAATTCAGCGCAGCGTCAATTCCGCGCTTATCTATTACAGTTGCAATTTATTATAACTTAGTATAAAAATATTAAGATGATTAAATAGAAGTCATTTTGAATGTTGGTATTATTAATAATTTCTTCATATTTATTTTTACAAAAATCTCAATTTTATTTACTAAATGTGTAATATCGAAAAAAATTAACTAATATTTATACCTATTTCTTTAATGAACCAATTTACCACATTATAAGGTATGTTGATTAGTAGCCAATATTATGTAAGCTTGGAAATTTTGCGCATAGAAGGAAGAAAGATTTGACCTCGATCTCTAATCTTATATATTATTTTGACTACTATCTTAATTAACCGTTTTTAAAAATAGAACAAAATATCTCCCTGATAAGTACTATTATGTTAATTCTTAAATCCCCTTTTCACGCCTAATTTTAGACAATAAAAAAAAAATTATAAAAGTTTAAAAAAATAATATACCCCCCTGATAAATAATATAAGAATAACAAAAATTATGTTAAATCTTAAATCCCCTTTTCACGCCTAATTTTAGACAATCCGCCTAACTATTGACAAAAATTAATAAATAGAATTATATTTTATTGAAATTTTGTCCTTTCTTCCATTTCAAAATTTTAAAAAGTTTGTAAAAAACTTTATTTTTTTTCTTTTCCTTCCATAATTTAATCTTTATAATTTAATCATTATAAATTTAGAATTCTTGATAAAGGTAAATATTAATATGATTTCTGTATATCATTTATAATTTTTATACATTTATTTTTAAGAATGCCTTTAAAATATGTTATAAGTGAACGTGGGTCAAAACAACTTGTTCATGATCAATACATATTCAGGAAAGAGAGAACTATAAATCAAAAAACAATATGGAAATGTGTTGAGTCTTATAAATTATTGGTTGGAAGGTAGACCTACCCATTGCAAAGGGCGGTGCCATACAATAAATGAAGAAGTAATTCTTCATATAATTAATCATAATCATGTGTTAGATGGTACGGAGATATGAATGCTTAAATAATATTAAAAGCGTGCCATTAAGGTGACTGATACACCTCAAAAAATTATAAGCATTGCAATAGCAGGGGGTTCCCATCCCTTCATGCTGCCCTTACACCCATCGCGTCAATAAAGCGGACCATTAAGCGGGCTAGATCGCTTATAGGTTCTCCATTACCTAACCCGACGAACAGTTATGATCTAGATTTGCCCGCTATCTATAGAATAACATGTTCAGGGTTGCCATTCCTTCAATATGACAGAAAGCATTTGCAACCGGAACTGCCAAGAATTTTAATATCTGCCACCGTCCAAAACCTTACATTGATGGCGGAAAGCAGTCACTGGTATGCAGATGACACATTTAAGACAGCCCCCTTAATTTTTCACCAACTTTGGACCGTCCATGCCCTATATCATAAAACAATTGTACCCACAATTTTTGCGCTATTACCGAATAAAACCCAGATTACATATACAAGTGTCTTGGATGAGATAGAAAGATTAAAAAATAATCTAAATCCTATATCGGTAATGAGCGATTTTGAGCAGGCCGAAATAAATGCCTTTACACATTTTTCCGTCAATAAATGTAAGAGGGTTTTTTTCATATGACCCAAGCGATTTGAAGACATATACAGAATGATGGCGAGTTATTAGCACATTATTTAGATAAAGATGCAGGATATGAGTGGTCTATAAAAATTAGACAAATGCTCTCTCTTGCATTTGTTCCCATGGATGATGTAGTTGAGGCTTTTTATGGACTAACACAAACACCATTCTATCAAGATAATGAAAGGGTCTTATATAATCTTATAACATATTATGAAGCGAATTGGATTGGGAAAATTCTTCGTAATGGAGAAAGACAACCACCAAGGTTTCCAATTCCCCTATGGAATCAATATGCTGCTACATTGGAGGGAATCCCAAAAACAAATAATGCAGTTGAAGGTAATTTTTGTAAAATTTGCTATCTTTTTTTTAATCATTATTACACAATCATTTTTTATAATTTACTTTGCAATTTTTTACTATAGGTTGTCATAGAGTATTCTCATCTCTGCTATCGTCGCACCATCCCTCTATTTGGAAATTTTTAGATGTTCTACGGTTAGAACAATCGTTAACCGAAGCAAAAATTGAACAATATATTTCTGGTACGCAACATCCGAGATCAAGAAAGAGGTATCGGGATACAGCTGAAAATATTATATTAATTGTATCTGACTATGTAAATCGCCCCAATTAATGATTATTTAAGGGGGATCGCATATAATTTTAATTTACAAATATAATTTTTTTTTAATAGCATGTTTTGTATAGTATATTTATATTTTCTATATTCATTTTATAAATAAATAAAAAAAATTGTGCGTTAATTCATTTTTCATTTATATAATAGAAAAAATTAGCCAAGTATAATATATTTTTTAAAAAGGATTAATAGAATTTAAAGATTTTTAATAAATCTAAAAAATGAGTCAGTCTAAATTTTGATTCTGGGTCTATTTTAAAAAACGGTCGATTTAAATTCTAGCCAAAATAATATGTAAGATTCGAGATAGAGGTCCAAACCTTTCTTTTTCTATGCCCAAAATCTCGGCTTACATAACATTGGCTACTAATCAACATACCTTATGTGGAAATTGGTCAACCAAAGAAATAGGTATAAATATTGGTTGTTAATTTTTTTTGATATTACACATTTAATAAATAAAATTGAGATTTTTGTAAAAATAAATATGAAGAAATAATTAATAGGCCAACATTCAAAATGATTTCTACTTAATCATCCTTATTTTTTATACTAAGTAATATATAATAAATTGCAACTGTAATAGATACGCGCCGAATTGACGCTGCGCTGAATTGTCGCCGCGCCAAATTTTATGCGCCTAATTTTCCGCGCCGAATTGTGGTGAACCTACCTACCTAAACGCCCATCCCTTGGGAAATAAGAAGAGAGTTAAAAAGCCCATGCCCGATTAAAAAAAACTTGATTATGGAAAAATTATATTGGTTGGTTAATTTTACACATATTTAGTATTGTGAAAACCTAGAAATAAACATGATTCTATAAAATAAAAAATATCAGTACAAATAGTATCACTTGTCAATAAAACTAGTTCTTTATATTCAACTTTGAAAATAATCAAAAATCCATTCCATA